TACACTGTATTTCTGATCAATTTTATGTTATTTTGAAAATGGCCCAAAAAAAATAGCCTCTCTTTCGAAAACAAGGACATTTCTAAGTGACCCCAAACGTTTGAACGGTAGTATAGTTGCTTTCTTCTTGTCTCCATTTCCACAGGAATGGCATTAGTCCACTTCTGAGTGAGGGTTACAATCTGGTGTATAATATGTATAATGGTGTATAATATGTATAATATAAATGTATGCTTTCTATTCAAAGCAACTTACAGTCATGTGTGCATATATTTTACGTACGGGTGGTCACGGGAATCAAACCCACTATCCTGGCATTGCAAGCACCATGCTCTACCAACTAAGCTACAGAAGAGCATGGTGTATGAACGCCGTCCTTTCCTTACAAGGTCTTGAATAGAAGTGCTACAGGTGACTTTCTGCTATTGTAAAAACTGTCCATCAATTATTTCATATCAGGTAAAGCATTAATTCATGTCAGTTTTACTAATGATATTGGAGGCATTAATAATAAATGAATTGGCATTATACTCATTGTGAGAGTCCAAGACGCATTTGCAAGTAATTGCCATTGCTTGCTGGTTGTTACTAAAGCTTCTGATGAACTGTGATGTCAAACTGGAACATAGGACTACTAGGACACACTGTTGCTATTAAAACGTGTGTGAATTGCTTCATAAAACTGCAAGTCACTGCGTCAGAATCTCAACAAGTCAAATTGCAGTGTAATCTTGACTACGAAATGAAGGATGGATCTTGGTCCTTTCTTACAAGATCGAAACACTGTCCGAGTGCCAATGTTAACAAATGACTGGTCTGAGCATAACAGAGTGGGCTACTAGACTGGTCTGGCATAACAGAGTGGGCCACTAGACTGGTCTGAGCATAACAGAGTGGGCTACTAGACTGGTCTGAGCATAACAGAGTGGGCCACTAGACTGGTCTGAGCATAACAGAGTGGGCCACTAGACTGGTCTGAGCATAACAGAGTGGGCCACTAGACTGGTCTGAGCATAACAGAGTGGGCCACTAGACTGGTCTGAGCATAACAGAGTGGGCCACTACAGAGTGGGCCACTAGACTGGTCTGAGCATAACAGAGTGGGCCACTAGACTGGTCTGAGCATAACAGAGTGGGCCACTAGACTGGTCTGAGCATAACAGAGTGGGCTACTAGACTGGTCTGAGCATAACAGAGTGGGCTACTAGACTGGTCTGAGCATAACAGAGTAGGCTACTATATATTTTATTTGTTCTTCCCTCATGCTGATCTTTGTCCAGCAGCTGCACCTGAACCAGAAGATACTTCTCGTGTTTAGTTCTGTGCCGTTAAAGAAGTGTTGTTTTATGGTATAGAAGAGCCAGAAAGGACCTTGGGGTGCGTGTGTGTGGTCTTGTGGGCCCCGTATTGAATCCCATACCGTAGGTCGGTACTAAATATTATGTTGGCTACTACAGTAAGACAAAATAAGGCATTGAGGTCCGTGTCAGAACCTATTTTAGCGTATTGATTATCACCAAGTTTGACATTCAAACCAGAATTCTGTAATTGAGCTAAATAATGACAGTTCATGGTGGTCACAAAGGCCCATTTTCCAAGTAAAATATATAGGACTAATATTATTATTTATTTATTTTGGTGGGGGTGGGTTGTTTTCAACATGTTTGTGATTAAGACTGAAACCCTAGGGTTATTCACTATGCATTCTGTAATTAACTTATTTACAAATATTACTATGCTTTGATTATTTAGGGTAGGGTTCAAGCCATATATATTTAGTAAGAAATATGATTTTAAAATATAAAATTACATTTTAAAATAAATGTAGACCTATTTTAAACTGAATTCATAGATTCAGTGTTATTATCATTGCTGCCTCACTGAAAACAATAGTGTGATATCAATTCCAAGCTGAATTGCACTGATATTAGGCTATACAAAATACTGCAACAGCATGGGAGGGTAGAAATGAAATCGCCCTTGATTTGATATTTCATCATGCTGCATGGAAACTGTTCATTCTGCACCCATTGTGGCTATAATCATGTAAAAGGCATTTATTCTGACATTGTCATGAACGAGACAGGTCTGAAGTAATATTCAGCTATACATCTGCACGGGTGTCTTGCTTTTGTGTAGGATCTGAGTGAGTATATATATATTTATATATGTCTTGATACGTCCTTTAGACAAAAGGTTTGCAGAGCGAAGGACGGTCACACCACAGACACAGAGCTTTGTATCACCCAACACACCCCCAGATTCTTGGTTAGCTGATGGCTGTACTATGTCAGATAGCGCGTTTGACTGTGCAGTGGTGTTAAAGAATAATCATTGTTGTTAGAATGTGCATATTACAGATTCAATGTGGCAAATAGTTTTAATGAAATTAAATGGACAGAAATGCATCGATTTTAGTTAGCTTGCTAACTAAGGAGAACGTTAGCTAGCTTTCAGAGAATAGCATGCTTACGTTACGTTGGGCGCAAAAAAATTATTGTAACGTGAGCTAGTTAGCCACCTCAGAAGGACTAGCTAGTTATGTTTCATAACGTAACTTGCGAACATTAGCAACATGCTATGTTTAGAAAATATTTTTAAAGGATTTGAAGTCTTCAAATGTATACCTTGAGAGAACAAAACAAGCCAGTATAAACAAAAGCCCGCTGAGCAGAATGCCCTATTACCGTTTTCCCCTCCCCTGTGCTAGCTAGTTAAGCGTCGCTACGAACATTGCCATTGGCTAGCTGAAGCTAACTAGCTAGCTAGCCAGTTGTCACCCAGTTTTGCCCTCGACACTCCGCGCACGCTACAATTCTCCATATTCTTGGCGCAAAAGCAACTTCACCACAATAATGCCTGTAACTAAATATAATGTCATAAAAAATGTGTATCTAACCGACGTGACATACAACTAAAAAACCCACGCTGTGGCATTAACGTTACATTTTCGAACGCAGTTACGTCAAAGTTAGCTACCTTGTTAGCTCTCCAACTAGCCAGATGGCTAACTGGGTTTTTCCTATGATCATGGGCAATTAAAAAAAAAACTAAAAATCTTACTTTCTGCTTACCTTTCCAATGCTTTTCGGGTTCCGCTTGCTCATTCGTGTTCATCCATGAATATAAACTACGTAGTATAAACAGTAATTTCCTAAATATTGAACAATTAAAACAGTAGCCTACGACTGTCTGACGTCTCTTTCCAGTTTATTGCTGGGTTTGAAAACATCCCCAGTCGTCGCTCGTCTCCGAGAAAAAGCCCAGCGAAAACACGCAAACGTCGTTCCCATTGGCCGAGAGCGGTCATGTGGTCACTTCAGCCCTGCCGAGCTTAAAAAAGTTTCTACGTCTTGCTGGATAATGGGTAATGTCAAGCGATTTACCTCATTTTAAACCGTTTCTAAAACGGATGGAAAGGCTTTGACACCATAAACAGCTTCGTTAGGGTAGCATGTACATTTAGAGTGGTGTTTTATTCAGTTTATAGACATCGAATGGTGAGTATTTTGCCTGTGAACCTTGTGGGTGCATAGGAGAGGGGAGAGAGGCGGTGTCGCTAGGCGCTTGACGTCATCTTTTCCGCTCGACTGCGGCCAGTGGGAATGTTCTCGAACATGTCGGATGAAGCAATAACACAGAGGTAATCTAGACTAAGTGCATTAAAACGTCCTCTCTGTAAATGGTTCGAATACAATTTTTAATTTAACTGAATGTCATAGACTGTATACTAGTTCCGTCAATGTGTTGCATCATTCCTGCCGCTCTATCTACATTGGATTGTTGTGGCGCAGTGATATTTGCATTAGATGACTATTATAGCGCATGCGCGGTTGGGGGGAATATTACATTGCGGAAGAAAACAAGCTTAAAATCACAAGAGGAAAATCTGAATGGGGGAGGGGCAGTGGCTATACACTGCGACTAGCCAACAGCATCCGGACTTGAATGGAGATGAGAGGCGGTTGTAACATAGGGGGGCCTTTGTGGGGGTAGGTTTAGGTTATCCTTGAGATGGTATTGAACATGAGGGCACTGGATCGTATGTTTTACTACAGCTCATTGCAGGAGGGTTTGTTTACATGCATTTTACTTTACCCTCAGTAGTTTAATTTCTCTCAATAAAATAAATCAAGTCGGTTGTGAATTGCTGTGTGAGACGTAGCAGCTGACAGATTGATATTATATCCTATTCTTTCTCAGGTTATTTTTAAGGAGATTTTGTAAAATTGAATGTAATCTCGGCTGTTTCTAATAAATGGTACCTCCATTTAAGGTAAATACTGCTGTATGTATGTATCCATTATTGTCAATTGAACTATGAGCCAGAGATAATTAGCAAGTCTTCAACCCCAACTGACACACAGAATCAGTCCAACACCAAGAGAACAATTAAATTGACATTTTATTTACATTATAATGCTCTAGTGAAAGAGGGGTCCCCCCCCCAATGGTATATAGGTGTGCGTCCAACATGCCAGCCTACTCCCTATGTAGTGCACTAGTTTTGAACAGAGCCCAATGGGCCCTGGTCAAAAGTAGTGCACTATATATGGGATAGGGTGCTGTTCATATATACAGTAGGTCTCTATAAATCAGAGTTTTTTTTATTTTTTTAATTTCATTTAGCAGACGCTCTTATCTAGAGCGACTTACAGGAGCAATTAGGGTTAAGTGCCTTGCTCAACGGCACATTGACAGATGTTTCACCTAGTCGGCTCGGGGATTAGAACCAGTGACCTTTCGGTTACTGGCACAACACTCTTAACCACTAACTACCTGCCGCCCCAACCTAGATTTAACTTTAGGCCAAAGAAAATAGCAAGGATGTCTTCTAATGATCTCAAATCCAAATGGACACAGAGTCAGACACCAAAAGCACAATTAAATTGACATTTTATTTACATTATTATTATGTTCATACACTTTGAACATCCTAGTGAAGTTATGCCTGGGCGTCCTGTTGTTCAGGTCTTTATAATGAGCTTATATCGGTTCTTCTAAAGCTCTTTATAAATCAGCTCTGACACCAAAACCAGGTCCTGGAGGAGGCTCAGACAGAGACGTCAGTCCACCTGCCGGTTCACAGGAGAAACGCCCGTTCCTGGAAGATAAATAACAAAGAATTATTACGTTTGAGAAATGTCAAACTATAACTTTATATTCATTTCCAGCACGACCCCAAAAATCAACAAATGTGAAAACGGCAGGTTTCTATGTTTTGTAGTCAAAAAGAGGAAGATGCGTGTAAAATAAAATAAATCATAAACATATATACAGTGCATTCAGAAAGTATTCAGACCCCTTATCCTTTTTCCACTTTGTTACGTTACAGCCTTATTCTAAAATAAGGGATTTTTTCCCCTCAATCTACACACCAGACCCCATAATGACAAAGCAAAAACTGTTTTTTAGAAATGTTCGCAAATTTATAAATAAACCCCCCCCCCCCCCGAAATATCACATTTACATAAGTATTCAGACCCTTTACTCAGTACTTTGTTGAAGCACCTTTGGCGGTGATTACAGCCTCGAGTCGTCTTTGGTATGACGCTACAAGCTTGGCACACCTGTATTTGGGGAGTTTCTCCCATTCTTCTCTGCAGATCCTCTCAAGCTCTGTCAGGTTGGATGGGGGCTGCACAGCTATTTTCAGGTCTCTCCAGAGATGTTCGATCGGGTTCAAGTCCGGGCTCTGGCTGCGCCACTCAAGGACATTCAGAGACTTGTCCCGAAGCCACTCCTGTGTTGTCTTGGCTGTGTGCTTAGGGTCATTGTCCTGTTGGAAGGTGAACCTTCACCCCAGTCTGAGGTCCTGAGCGCTCTAGAGCAGGTTTTCATCAAGGAGCTCTCTGTACTTTTCTCCGTTCATCTTTCCCTCGATCCTGACTAGTCTCCCAGTCCCTGCCACTGAAAAACATCACCACAGCATGATGCTGCTACAACCATGCTTCATCGTAGGGATGGTGCCAGGTTTCCTCCAGACGTGACACTTGGCATTCAGGCCAAAAATAGTTCAATCTTGGTTTCATCAGACCAGAGAATCTTATTTCTCATGGTCTGAGAGTCTTTAGGTGCCTTTTGGCAAACTCCAAGCGGGCTGTCATGGGCTTTTTACTGAGGAGTGCCTTCCGTCTGGCCACTCTACCATAAAGGCCTGATTGGTGGAGTGCTGCAGAGATGGTTGTCCTTCTGGAAGGTTGTCCTTCTCATATGTATATACTGTATTCTATTCTATCTATTGCATCTTAGCCTATGCCGCTCTGATAATGACATTGCTCATCCATATATTTATATATTGTTATTCCATTCCTTTACTTAGATTTGTGTGTATTAGGTTTTTGTTGTGTATCTGTTAGATATTACTGGCTAGATATTGCTGCACTGTCGGAACTAGAAGCACAAGCATTTGGCTACACTCGCAATAATATCTGCTAACCATGTGTATGTGACCAATACATTTGATTTGATTATCGCGCAAATACAGGACCCTAAATATGAGATGATAGACGTTCGTACCTGGGCCCAGGCGGAGGGACGTTCCCAGCTTTCAGCTCATCAATGATCTGATCAATGTCTTTAGGACTCAGGTCCTCCTGAAAACCAGAGGACAGCAACACATTACAAAATAGATCCAGTTTTTAACACGTCATATAACCAGTCTATTTACCCAGTAAAACTATCCTAACACGTCATAAAACCAGTCTATTTAGAGAGTAAACCTAACACTTCATAAAACCAGTCTATTTACCCAGTAAAACTATCCTAACACGTCATAAAACCAGTTCGATATAACAATAACTTCATTCCTAAATTTGAGGGAAATTTGTATTGCTATATTTCTAAAATTACACAAAAAAAACAAATCAGTTCTGCTTAATTCTTGCAGCACGAGGGTTGTGGTTTGTAGGGAGCCTTAGCGGTTTTGTAACTAACGTAGATGGTAGTAATGGAGAACTAGAGAAGACACCAACTAACTCATAGTTTTGCCGATATCATTTTGAGAATATGGCAGTATTATTTTTTGCGCTAGTCTGCTGTACCAAAACCCCCTGTGTTTTTCCCTTCACAGCTTGTTCTCCATCTTTTCAAAAGACAGGGAGCCAGTTTTGTTTTCAGCACTTTTATTTCCATGACCGATCAAAACTTGTTTTCTCATGGCTCTCGTCCCTCTGCAGCAGACATATGGGGAGCAATATTGTATGGAACATCGAATCGCAATAAAAATCACAGTATTGAATCGCAATACATATAGAATCGTGAGAATCGCAATACATATTGTATCAGCACCTAAGTATGGTGTTAATATCGTATCGTGAGGTTCCTGGTCATTCCCAGCCCCACTACTACTCACGTAGTAGTTGTCGTTGATCTGGACCATGGGGGCGTTAACACAGGCACCAAGACATTCCACCTCTATTAGAGAGAACATCTTGTCTGCAGTCATCCCTCCTACCTTGATGCCTGAGGGAGGAAGAGGAGGAGGAGGAGGAGGAAGAGGTTAAGGCTTTATTAGACTGATCTGATGGAAGGATCGGTGAACTGGTCCCAATTCTGTTTGTGCTTTTGCCTACTCCATTGTCAAGCCAAACATGTTCTGCATGACAATTGGCAAGAGAAACAGCATCTTGACACTGCAAAAGCAGAAACCGACTGGAACCCAGCATCTTGACACTGCAAAAGCAGAAACCGACTGGAACCCAGCATCTTGACACTGCAAAAGCAGAAACCGACTGGAACCCAGCATCTTGACACTGCAAAAGCAGAAACCGACTGGAACCCAGCATCTTGACACTGCAAAAGCAGAAACCGACTGGAACCCAGCATCTTGACACTGCAAGAGAACTGACTTCATATTCACAAGAAAGGATACAGTAGGTTTAGCATCATGGTTAAGTAGTGATCATTTTAATTGATGAACAGTTTTTTTCCTAGATCTCCGAAGCTAGCTTAATACTCGACTCTAAACAATCCTTTATTGTTGTGTACTCTAGGGTTGGGCGATATTACAATACCATCGTCTATCGATGACGATTGATAGCTATCGTCGATGGTAACGACATCATAATGTGACAGATGATGGTTTACCCTATTTGAACTTGACTGGTGCCGAGCAGTAAAGAACTGAGTCTCACAGTACACAGCAGGACAGCACACAGCAGGACAGGACACAGAAGGACAGCACACAGCAGGACAGGACACAGCAGGACAGCACACAGCAGGACAGTACACAGCAGGACAGCACACAGCAGGACAGCAGGACAGTACACAGCAGGACAGGACACAGCAGGACAGTACACAGCAGGACAGTACACAGCAGGACAGTACACAGCAGGACAGTAGGACAGCAGGACAGCAGGACAGTACACAGCAGGACAGGACACAGCAGGACAGTACACAGTAGGACAGTACACAGCAGGACAGTAGGACAGCAGGACAGCAGGACAGTACACAGCAGGACAGGACACAGCAGGACAGTACACAGTAGGACAGTACACAGCAGGACAGGACACAGCAGGACAGGACACAGCAGGACAGGACACAGCAGGACAGTACACAGCAGGACAGGACACAGCAGGACAGGACACAGCAGGACAGTACACAGCAGGACAGGACACAGCAGGACAGTACACAGCAGGACAGGACACAGCAGGACAGGACACAGCAGGACAGTACACAGCAGGACAGGACACAGCAGGACAGTACACAGCAGGACAGCAGGACAGTACACAGCAGGACAGGACACAGCAGGACAGTACACAGTAGGGACAGTACACAGCAGGACAGGACACAGCAGGACAGGACACAGCAGGACACAGCAGGACAGGACACAGCAGGACAGTAGGACAGTACACAGCAGGACAGCACACAGCAGGACAGTAGGACAGGACACAGCAGGACAGCAGGACAGTACACAGCAGGACAGGACACAGCAGGACAGTACACAGCAGGACAGGACACAGCAGGACAGCAGGACAGTACACAGCAGGACAGGACACAGCAGGACAGTACACAGCAGGACAGTACACAGCAGGACAGGACACAGCAGGACAGTACACAGGAAAGCAGGACAGTACCACAGCAGGACAGTACACAGCAGGACAGACACAGTAGGACAGACACACAGACAACCAGCAGGACAGGACACAGCAGGACAGACACAGCGGACAGTACAACAGGCAGGACACAAGCAGCGGAACAGGACAGAAAAGCAGGCATACAGGGACACAGCAGGACAGTACACACAACCAGCAGGACAGGACACAGCAGGACAGGACACAGCAGGACAGGACACAGCAGGACAGGACACAGCAGGACAGACACAGCAGGCAGAAGGACACAGCAGGACAGGACACAGCAGGACAGGACACAGCAGGACACAGCTACACAGCAGGACGGACACAGCAGGACAGACACAGCAGGACACAGTAACAGCAGACAGGCACAGCAGGACAGACACAGAGCATACAAGGCAAGCAGGACAGAACAGCAGGAAGGACACAGCAGGACAGGACACAGCAGGACAGGACACAGCAGGACAGGACACAGCAGGACAGAAGGACAGAACACAGCAGGACAGGACACAGCAGGACAGGACACAGCAGGACAGGACACAGCAGGACAGAAGGACAGAACACAGCAGGACAGCACACAGCAGGACAGAAGGACAGAACACAGCAGGACAGAAGGACAGAACACAGCAGGACAGGACACAGCAGGACAGTACACAGCAGGACAGGACACAGCAGGACAGGACACAGCAGGACGGCAGGACAGTACACAGCAGGACAGCACACAAGTGACATTTGAGTAATTAGCCTATTCCTACATGCTATAGCCTATTTCAATAAATATGTTATATAGCCTACAGAACACAAGAGGGGCATGGAGTGGAGACCGAGTGGAGAATTCCACCACAGCGGAATGTCCAGTCAGAAAATATTGTTTCTCTCTGTCGGATGCATGGTCCTTAGACTATAGCCTAAACCTATTCATTTAGACCAGAGCCTAAACCTATTCATTTAGACTATAGCCTAAACCTATTCATTTAGACTAAAGCCTAAACCTATTCATTTAGACTATAGCCTAAACCTATTCATTTAGACTATAGCCTAAACCTATTCATTTAGACTATAGCCTAAACCTATTCATTTAGACTAAAGCCTAAACCTATTCATTTAGACTAAAGCCTAAACCTATTCATTTAGACTATAGCCTAAACCTATTCATTTAGACTATAGCCTAAACCTATTCATTTAGACTATAGCCTAAACCTATTCATTTAGACTATAGCCTAAACCTATTCATTTAGACTATAGCCTAAACCTATTCATTTAGACTATAGCCTAAACCTATTCATTTAGACCATAGCCTAAACCTATTCATTTAGACCAGGACTGCCCAACCCAGTTCCTGGAGAGCTACCATCCTGTAGGTTTTTGCTCCATCCCTAATCTAGCACAACTGATTCTAATAATTAGCAGGTTGATAAGATGAATCAGGTTAGTAACACCTGGGGTTGGAGCGAAAACCTACAGGAGGGTAGCTCTCCAGGAACAGGGTTGGAGCGAAAACCTACAGGAGGGTATCTCTCCAGGAACAGGGTTGGAGCGAAAACCTACAGGAGGGTATCTCTCCAGGAACAGGGTTGGAGCGAAAACCTACAGGAGGGTAGCTCTCCAGGAACAGGGTTGGAGCAAAAACCTACAGGAGGGTAGCTCTCCAGGAACAGGGTTGGAGCGAAAACCTACAGGAGGGTAGCTCTCCAGGAACAGGGTTGGAGTTAAAACCTACAGGAGGGTATCTCTCCAGGAACAGGGTTGGGGTTAAAACCTACAGGAGGGTAGCTCTCCAGGAACAGGGTTGGAGTTAAAACCTACAGGAGGGTAGCTCTCCAGGAACAGGGTTGGGCTGATTTAGACTATAGCCTAAACCTTTTCCTTATTAAAAAATTTTCGGACACTATTTAACTACACTATATATGAAAAGTATGTGGACACTCCTTCAAATTAGTGGATTCGGCTATTTCAGCCACACCCGTTGCTGACGGGTGTATAAATCTAGCACACAGCCATGCAATCTCCATAGACAAACATTGGCAGTAGAATGGCCTTACTGAAGAGCTCAGTAACTTTCAACGTGGCACCGTCATAGGATGCCACCTTTCCAACAAGTCAGTTCGTCACATTTCTGCCCTGGTCAACTGTAAGTGCTGTTATTGTGAAGTGGAAACGTCTAGGAGCAACAACGGCTCAGCCGCGATATGGTAGGCCACACAAGCTCACAGAATGGGACCGCTGAGTGTTGAAGCGCGTAAAAATCGCCTGTCCCCGGTTGCAACACTCACTACCGAGTTCCAAACTGCCTCCGGAAGCAACGTCAGCACCATAACTGTTCGTTATGGTGGAGGAGGAATAATGGTCTGGGGCTGTTTTTCATGGTTCGGGCTAGGCCTCTTAGTTCCAGTGAAGGGAAATCTTAACGCTACAGCATACAATGACATTCTAGACGATTCTGTGATTCCAACTTTGTGGCAACAGTTTGGGGAAGGCCCTTTCCTGTTTCAGCATGACAATGCCCCCGTGCACAAAGCGAGGTCCATACAGAAATGGTTTGTCGAGATCGGTGTGGAAGAACTTGACTGTCCTGCACAGAGCCCTGACCTCAACCCCATCAAACACCTTTGGGATTAATTGGAACGCCGACAGCGAGCCAGGCCTAATCGCCCAACATCAGTGCCCGACCTTACTAATGCTCTTGTGGCTGAATGGAAGCAAGTCCCTGCAGCAATCTTCCAACATCTAGTGGAAAGCCTTCCCAGAAGAGTGGAGGCTGTTATAGCAGCAAAGGGGGGGACCAACTCCATATTAATGCCCATGATTTTGGAATGAGATATTCGACGAGCAGGTGTCCACATACACTACATGACGAAAAGTATCTTGTGTCTACTAGCAGTTAAAAAAAACAAAAATCCTATATTCCCTTCTCTCTCTCCATTCTATAGGCTATGAATATGACTTTGGTCTATAGGCTACACTTTCATAGTTTTATGCATGGCTTTATCCCGATCAAACAATGAATGTAACGGAGTTCCATCTCAAAAAGATGTTTGGATAGCTTAAAAACGTAAGCTAGCGAGGTGACAAACCATGTCAATAGCCTGTAGGACAAACCATGTCAATAGCCTGTAGGACAAACCATGTCAATAGCCTGTAGGACAAACCATGTCAATAGCCTGTAGAAAAATCAAATGACAAGTTTAATTAAGCTTAAGCTTATTAAGAAATAAATGATCCATGCGGGCCGGGAACACCCCTCCATGTGAGGTCGAAAACCAAAATGGCCAATAACCTATCCTCCTACTGGCCTATCATATAACAAAATGGCCACACAGACCTGCTCTGCTTCTCCACCAGAAAGGAATATTAGAGAAGATGTGCCTGCACTCTGTCTCTGCCCAGGCTTTCAACAACATTATCTTTCCTCATTATTCATTCAGTTGTAGGATTCGATTTCGCACAGTCGATTTAGCGGAGTTCCCGCTGAGTTTGTTGTTGGCCAATAGGGAGCGATACCATCGTACATCACAATGTTTTATGCGTACATAAGCACGATAGGACAATGGTTGACATCAACCAACCCTAGTGTACACAACTATATTCATTTTTGGATAAACTGCTATTCCCTGATGTTTGTATTGCAGGACATATTGTATACAGTGGGGGAAATAAGTATTCAGTCAGCCACCAATTGTGCAAGTTCTCCCACTTAAAAAGATGAGAGAGGCCTGTAATTTTCATCATAGGTACACGTCAACTATGACAGACAAAATGAGAAGAAAAAAAATCCAGAAAATCACATTGTAGGATTTTTAATGAATTTATTTGCAAATTATGGTGGAAAATAAGTATTTGGTCAATAACAAAAGTTTCTCAATACTTTGTTATATACCCTTTGTTGGCAATGACACAGGTCAAACGTTTTTTGTAAGTCTTCACAAGGTTTTCACACACTGTTGCTGGTATTTTGGCCCATTCCTCCATGCAGATCTCCTCTAGAGCAGTGATGTTTTGGGGCTGTCGCTGGGCAACACGGACTTTCAACTCCCTCCAAATATTTTCTATGGGGTTGAGATCTGGAGACTGGCTAGGCCACTCCAGGACCTTGAAATGCTTCTTACGAAGCCACTCCTTCGTTGCCCGGGCGGTGTGTTTGGGATCATTGTCATGCTGAAAGACCCAGCCACGTTTCATCTTCAATGCCCTTGCTGATGGAAGGAGGTTTTCACTCAAAATCTCACGATACATGGCCCCATTCATTCTTTCCTTTACACGGATCAGTCGTCCTGGTCCCTTTGCAGAAAAACAGCCCAAAAGCATGATGTTTCCACCCCCATGCTTCACAGTAGGTATGGTGTTCTTTGGATGCAACTCAGCATTCTTTGTCCTCCAAACACGACGAGTTGAGTTTTTACCAAAAAGTTCTATTTTGGTTTCATCTGACCATATGACATTCTCCCAATCCTCTTCTGGATCATCCAAATGCACTCTAGCAAACTTCAGACGGGCCTGGACATGTACTGGCTTAAGCAGGGGGACACGTCTGACACTGCAGGATTTGAGTCCCTGGCGGCGTAGTGTGTTACTGATGGTAGGCTTTGTTACTTTGGTCCCAGCTCTCTGCAGGTCATTCACTAGGTCTCCCCGTGTGGTTCTGGGATTTTTGCTCACCGTTCTTGTGATCATTTTGACCCCACGGGGTGAGATCTTGCGTGGAGCCCCAGATCGAGGGAGATTATCAGTGGTCTTGTATGTCTTCCATTTCCTAATAATTGCTCCCACAGTTGATTTCTTCAAACCAAGCTGCTTACCTATTGCAGATTCAGTCTTCCCAGCCTGGTGCAGGTCTACAATTTTGTTTCTGGTGTCCTTTGACAGCTCTTTGGTCTTGGCCATAGTGGAGTTTGGAGTGTGACTGTTTGAGGTTGTGGACAGGTGTCTTTTATACTGATAACAAGTTCAAACAGGTGCCATTAATACAGGTAACGAGTGGAGGACAGAGGAGCCTCTTAAAGAAAAAGTTACAGGTCTGTGAGAGCCAGAAATCTTGCTTGTTTGTAGGTGACCAAATACTTATTTTCCACCATAATTTGCAAATAAATTCATTAAAAATCCTACAATGTGATTTTCAGGAAAAAAAAATCTCAATTTGTCTGTCATAGTTGACGTGTACCTATGATGAAAATTACAGGCCTCTCAGGCCTCTGGTCTTTTTAAGTGGGAGAACTTGCACAATTGGTGGCTGACTAAATACTTTTCCCCCCACTGTACATCCACGTTTATCCTCCAGTTCATCTGTCACATACACAATAAAACAAAAAAACTAAATCCAGATCTGCTTTCATCTCCACTTTAATCCCCTTCACTCTGTGAACCAAACGGGACAGTTGATCTCCTACCCAGTTTGTTCTGGATGGCCTCCAGGATGCTGTCGGAGTCGCAAAGCATGCAGGGAGTTGTAGTGCAGATCTGGATGTGGTACTTCCCCACCGGCTGCCTCAGGAACATGGTGTAGAACGTTGCTACCTCATAGATTCTCATCGGAGGGACCTCAAGCACCTCGGCCACCTGGGAGATGAGGAAAATGAATGGGTTTTTTTTCCCGGAAAAAACAGAGGCTAATTAACAAATAAAAGGTCGAGCATTGAGTAAGTATGGTCAGTCCAATAATGGATGACTCAGTTTCTAAAAAATGTTTCATCCCTACTGATCACGCCCCAGGTCTGCAAGTAGAGATTCTGTGTAAATCTACGTCATTCATTCTGATTATGCCCATTTAAAGTAATGTGTTACTACATAAGCCAACAGATGAACATACTCTATTCTGAAGCAAACAGATGCCTCAGTCAGGATATTGGTAGATGGATAGACCTTGTTCATAGCGGAGATGGGGATATCGATAGATTGATTACCTTGTTCATAGCTGAGATGGGGAGCCATCCATGCTGTCTCTGAGCCAGGTCCAACACAGGGATGGTGGCGGCCTGCTTGTGACCCTCGGGGTACATACTAATGATGGCATCAATCCTCTAGACAACAACAAACAGATGTGGTTGTTGATAAGAACAGAGAATGTGACGTTATAACGCTTCCTTTTTAAAAAATGAGTTAAAGTTGATGTGATTTACATTGTAATAAACTGTTCTAATAGTTTTGTTGTTAGTCTTGATGTGCAGGCATTTCTTTAAAATGATCATCCTCTGGCATCATCCACTCACCTTCAGGTTGTCCACAGTGAACTCAAAAGGAGTATCTGGGTTGTTGTCAGGTGTGTCTCGGTGCTACAGCAGGAAGAAGAACAGCAGATCAAATCATTACACGGAAGTCAGTTCTATAGGAATCCTACCAGGACCCGTCAAGCAAAAACTAAAACATATTGGATTAGTTCAAACTGTTCAATTAGTAAACCAACCAACTGATCAGGAAAATGACAATCTCCCCATAGATGACAGGAAGTGGTAAAGAATGGGAGAGGAAACCCCTAGGTGCTTGAGATGTATCCTTTATCTACACCAGTGGGAGTGCTGTATCCAACAACATATAACTCCTGAGTGGAGCAGTGGTCTAAGGCACTGCATTGCAGTGCTAGCTGTGCCACTAGAGATCCTGGTTCGAATCCAGGCTCTGTCGCAGCCGGCCGCGACCGGGAGACTCATGGGGCGGCGCACAATTGGCCCAGCGTCGTCCAGGGTAGGGGAGGGAATGGCCGGCAGGGATGTAGCTCAGTTGATAGAGCATGGCGTTTGCAACGCCAGGGTTGTGGGTTCGATTCCCACGGGGGGCCAGTATAAAAAAATATGTATTCACTAACTGTAAGTCGCTCTGGATAAGAGCGTCTGCTAAATGACTAAAAATGTGGAAAAAAAATGTAAATATAAGCTGCGTTCACAGGCAGACCAATCCTGAGATTTTGTTTCACTAAATTGGTATTTTAACCAATCTTTTGACCAATTTGATCAGCTCTGAAAACTATATTTAGTGAAAAGATCTGATGTGATTGGTCAAAACACCAATTAGTGAAAAAATATATATATATAATCAGAATTGGGCTGCCATATTGGCACTACAGGAAATGTGCACTGCCCCCTTGTGGACAGTAAATATTCCTATCGTGTTCATTATTATATATATTTTTTATTCTGGCTAAAATGGTAATCATAAAAATGCATAAGCCATGATTGTAGCTTATTGTAATAATAATAATAATAATAATAATAAGCCATTTAGCAGACGCTTTTATCCAAAGCGACTTACAGTCATGCGTGCATACATTTTTGTGTATTGGTGGTCCCGGGGATCGAACCCACTACCTTGGCGTTACAAGCGCCGTGCTCTACCAGCTGAGCTACAGAGGACCACATTGTAGGTAGGGCTTTGTTTAATCTGTTCTCTAAAAGATAATATTTCCATCACCTGAGTAAAAGATACATAACATCTAGTGATGGGTTGATTATTATTTTATACAGTAGAGTGTCGCAATTTTTTTTTTTTTTTTTTTACGATTTATTGATTGTGTTCTTTTTTCTTCTTCTTCTAATAACATCCTACAGTAGTTGCATGATGCAATGGTCATGCAAGGTTGGTTCATATAGTTGAGTAGGCCAGACCTTGACAACAAGCCATTATCTTGTTGGGAGATATGGTCATATTGACTTACGGTTCTTAGTGTTAGTCACATCATTGTCTTGTGTTAGACTGGTTGCCGTCTCTGTTCAGCCATGACATTTCATGCCTTGCCAGTCCTGGCATTTGCCAAAAGAGACTAGCCTTTCGGGAAATCTTCAAATATGAACATAATTTCTTAGTGGTTAAGAGCGTTGTGCCAGTAACCGAAAGGTCGCTGGTTCTAATCCCCGAGCAGACTAGGTGGAAAAATCTGTTGATGTGCCCTTGAGCAAGGCACTTAACCCTAATTGCTCCTGTAAGTCGCTCTGGATAAGAGCGTCTGCTAAATGACTAAAATGTAAATGTACAACATTTAATTAATGAGCGAGGAGATCAGAGGATTTTATCCTGATTTCATAACCCTAACAGGCAGCTATCATCCAATCACAATGTTTATGCAAATTAAACTGATAGGAAAACATAGCTTAATTTATCAATTTGATGGTAAACATTAACATTGGACAGAGGATTCCTGTTTATTGCATTTTTACCACCAGCCAATGTGATCACATCACACCAGAGAGGTTCTCGCCATTAAAAGTTCCCCGCCAGTTAATTGTGAATGTGGAGCCTATTTTATATCCAGCAAGCAAAAGCAAGGTGCTTCTTTCCGCAAATATATATTTGTATTGCTCAAAATAAGTAACCAAACTACACTGAGTATACAAAACATGACACCTGCTCTTTCCATGACATAGACTGACCAGGTGAATCCAGGTGAACGCTATGATCCCGTATTGATGTCACTTGTTTAATCCACTTAAAATCATTGTATATCAAGGGTAGGAGACAGGTTAAAGGATTATTTAAGCCTTGAGACAATTGAGACATGGATTGTGGATGTGTGCCATTCAGGGGGCGAATGGGCAAGACAAAAGATGTAAGTGCCTTTTGAACGGGGTATGGTAGTAGGTGCCAGGCGCACCGGTTTGTGTCAAGAAATGCAACGCTACTGGGTTTTTCTCGCTCAACAGTTTCCGGTGTGTATCAAGAATGGTCCACCACCCCAAAGGACATCCAGCCAACTTGACACAACTGTGGGAAGCATTGGAGTCAACATGGACCAGCATCCCTGTGGAACGCTTTCGACACCTTGTAGAGTCCATGCCCTGACGAATTGAGGCTGTTCTAAGGGCAAAAGGGGGTGCAACTTAATATTAGGAAGGTGTCCTTAATGTTTTGTATACTCAGTGTATATTGCTACTTCTGGGACACACATTGGGCTAGGCTACTGGTACAGAGAGGATGAGAGAGATGCCAGTGGAGATGCATGAAATGCGCAAGAAGGGAACCGTGAAGCCAGATGTGTAAATTAGAAGTGAATTCATAGGCTGGGCTATTAATCCACCACTCGTATGCTAGCCTATATATTAGGCCAATTTTTTAGTAATACTATACCTGTCCCTCTTCACCCTTCAAACTTTCCTTGTCAATTCATTTGATAGGCTACATTATTTTAGCATTATGCTACGATGTAGCATAGGCCTACTTTCTGAAGGACTACAGGCAAGATTTGAAGGTGAGCCTGTGTTCTGAATAAGTTTTTAGGAAAGGAGAAATGTGATTTGTGTGGCTTTGATGGTTGGGTCCTTTTAGGGAGTTTTTTTTGTGTGTGTGAGTTCGCTAATCCATTCAGAAAGATTCCTAAAGTATCCTGTCTGGACTTCATCTGTTAATAAGAGAGGAGAGAGAAATAATATAACTGAACTTAGAATAACACTTTTATTTTAAACTAAAAAGGAAGTCATGATCAGCATACAGTGCTTCAGAAAGTATTCATACACCTTGACTTATTCCACCCCAAAATGGTGTTACAGCCTGAATTCAAAATGGATTAAATTGATTTCTCTCAACCATCTACACACAATATCCCATAATGACCAAGTGTAAACATGTTTGTAGAAATATACTGAAAATAAAATACAGAAATACAGTGCATTCGGAAAGTATTCAGATCCCTTGACTTTTTCCACATGTTGTTACATTACAGCCTTATTAAAAAATTGATTATTGTTCCCCCCCCCTCAATCTACACACCATACCCCATAATGACAAATCAAAAAACAGGTTTAGACATTTTTGCAAACGTATTAAAAATAAACGGAAATTTCAACATTTACATAAGTATTCAGACCCTTTACTAAGTACTTTGTTGAAGCACCTTTGGCAGCGATTACAGCCTCAAGTCTTCTTGGGTATGACGCTACAAGCTTGGCACACCTGTATTTGAGGAGTTTCTCCCATTTTTCTCTGCAGATCCTCTCAAGGCCTGTCAGGTTGGATGGGGAGCGTCGCTGCACAGCTATTTTCAGGTCTCTCCAGAGATGTTAGATCGGGTTCAAGTCCGGGCTCTGGCTGGGCCACTCAAGGACATTCAGAGACTTGTCCCGAAGCCACTCCTGCGTTGTCTTGGCTGTGTGCTTAGGGTCGTTGTTCTGTTGGAAGGTGAACCTTCGCCCCAGTCTGAGGTCCTGAGCACTCTGGAGCAGATTTTCATCAAGGATCTTGCTCCGTTCATCTTTACCTCGATCCCGACTAGTCTCCCAGTCCCGGCCACTGAAAAACATCCCCAAAGCATGATGCCGCCACCACCATGCTTCACCTTAGGGATGGTGCCAGGTTTTCTCCAGACGTGACGCTTGGCATTCAGGCCAAAGAGTTCAATCTTGGTTTCATCAGACCAGAGAATCTTGTTTCTCATGGTCTGAGAGTCCTTTAGGTGCCTTTTGGCAAACTCCAAGCGGGTTGTCATGTGCCTTTTACTGAGGAGTGGGTTTTGTCTGGCCACTCCACCATAAAGGCCTGATTGGTGGAGTGCTGCAGAGATGGTTGTCCTTCTGGAAGGTTCTCCCATCTCCACAGAGGAACTCTGGAACGCTCTCAGAGTGACCATCGGGTTCTTGGTCACCTCCCTGACCAAGGCCCTTCTCCCCCGATTGCTCTGTTTGGCCGGGCGGACAGGTCTTGGAAGAGTCTTGGTGGTTCCAAACTTCTTCCATTTAAGAATGATGAAGCCCACTGTGATCTTGGGGACCTTCAACGCTGCAGACATTTTTTGGTGCCCTTCCCCAGATCTGTGCCTCGACACAATCCTGTCTCTGAGCTCTACGGACAATTCCTTCGACCACAGGCTTGTTTTTTGCTCTGACATGCACTGTCAACTGTGGGACCTTATATAGACAGGTGTGTACCTTTCCAAATCATGTGCAATCAATTGAATTTATCACAGGTGGACTCCAATCAAGTTGTAGAAATATCTCAAGGATGATCAATGGAAACAGGATGCACCGGAACAGAATTTCGAGTCTCATAGCAAAGGGTCTGAATACTTATGTAAATAAGGTATCTTTTTTATTTGTAATACATTTCTAAAAATGTCTAAAAACCTGTTTGTGCTTTGTCATCATGGGGTATTGTGTGTAGATTGATGAGGGGGGAAAACGTATTTAATCCATTTTAGAATAAGGCTGTAACGTAACAAAATGTGGAAAGAGTGAAGGGGTCTGAAATACTTTCCAAATGCACTGTATCTCATTTACACAAGTATTCACACCCGAGTCAACTTTATACCACCTTTGGCAGCGATCTTTCTGGGTAAGTCTCTAAGAGCTTTCCACAACCTTTGCCCATTATTCTTTGCAAAATTTTCAAGCTCTGTCATATTGACTGTTGATCTTGATTGGTTAGACGACCATTTTCAGATCTTGCTATACATTTTAATGTATATTTAAGTCAAAACTAACTCGACACTCAGGAATATTCACTGTCTTGGTAAGCAACTCCAGTGTAGATTTGGCCTTGTGTTTTCAGTTATTTTCCTACTGAAAGGTGAATTCCTCTCCCAGTGTCTGGTGGAAAGCAGACAACCAGGTTTTCCTCTAGGATTTTGCCTGTGCTTAGCTCCATTCCGTTTATTTTTCATCCTGAAAAACATCCCAGTCCTTAACGATTACAAGCATACCCATAACATGATGCAGCCACCACTATGCTTGAAAATATGGAGAGTGGTACTCAGTAATGTGTTCTATTGGATTTGCCCCAAAACATAACATGTATTCAGGACAAAAAGGTAATTGCTTTGCCACATTATTTGCAGTATTACTTTAGTGCCTTGTTGCAAAGAGGAAGCATGTTTTGGAATATTTTTGTTCTGTAAAGGCTTACTTTTCACTTTGTCAATTAGGTTAGTATTGTGGAGTAACTACAATTTTGTTGATCCATCCTCAGTTTTCTCCTGTCACAGCCATTAAACTCTGTAAATGTTTTAGTCACCATTGGCCTCATGGTGAAATTCCTGAGCGGTTTCCTTCCTCTCCGGCAACTGAGTTAGGAAGGACGCCTGTATCTTTGTAGTGACTGGGTGTATTTATACACCATCCAAAGTGTAATTAATAACTTCACCATGCTCAAAGGGATATTCAATGTCTGCTTTTTATTTTATTTTTACCCATCTACCAATAGATGTCCTTCTTTGTGAGGCATTGGAAAACCTCCCTGGTCTTTGTGGTTGAATCTGTGTTTGAAATTCACTGCTCGACTGAGGGACCTTACAGATAATTGTATGTGTGGGGTACAGAGATGAGGTAGTCATTCAAAAATCATGTTAAACACCATTATTGCACACAGAGTGAGTTCATGCAAGTTATTATGTGACTTGTTGCCATAACAAAGGGGTTGAATACTTGACTCAAGACATTTCATCTGTTCATTTTTAATTAATTTGTTTTTTTCGTAATCTAAAAACAGAATTCCACTTTGACATGATGGGATATTGTGTGTAGGCCAGTGACAAAAAAATCTCAATTTAATCTGTTTAAATTCAGGCTGTAATTTAACAAAATGTGGAAAAAGTAAATGGCACTGTATGTGCGAGGAATGACGACAGGTGCCACTTTCCGCTTCTTTTCTTTCATTTATGGGATGCAACTGAAGCAACCGTAGCTAGATTTAATCTTGTAGGCTAATATTTTCCGTATCATGATTTCTCCCTCTCATTACGGAGTCCTCTCTAGCCACATTGAACAACATGATCTTGCATTGACACTGCCTTCTCACAAGGGAATTACCGCAGCAGGTCAGAGCGATATTGTTTGTTGTTGTTCTTAAAAATTCTAATTCTATATTGCGCCAAATTTGCACACACCCCATATTCCATAATGTTGTCATGGAAAATATGAATGTTGTTTCCAACTAGCAATCAACAACTGTGCGGTAAATACGTCTGCATATTGAACGTTAAGATTGCCGAAAGGCCAGTCTCTTTGGCAAATGACAGGAGTGGCAAGGAGTGGAATGTTAGCTAAAAAGACAGGAACCCAGACTAGTCTTACTTCCAAATCTCGTCTCGGTAGGTACGTAAGAAGCCTGGGCTTCGGAGGCTAGGCACATCAAGGATATAGTACAGTAAGGCTTTCTGACTAAGCTCAGTTGGTAGAGCATGACGCTTGCAACGCCAGGGTTGTGGGTTCGATTCCTACGGGGGGACCAGTATGAAGAAAAAAAAAAAATGTATGCACTCAATAACTGTAAGTCGCTCTGGATAAGAGCGTCTGCTAAATGACTAAAATGTAAACTTTCTGGTGAAATGTCTTGTTGAAATCAGCGAGGTTACAGATCTTACACAGCAGCACTCACCACAAAGATGCCGCCAGCTCCAGCTCTGGCAGCAGACTGGTGCAGACTCCTGACCTGCCTGGCCTGAGAACATGGAACATTGACAGAAAATAAGAAAAAAGGATGTTAATGTGTGCACAAGGTTTGATTCTATGGAATACCAACCAAAACGAATTTATTAAAGACCTCAATACCAACAGGACAATTTTGCAGTATGAGGGATGCAGGACCAATGACAATTCTGACCAGTGTGATTCAAAACGATTAAGAAGTTGCAAGGTAGCCATGAAGCTAATTAGCCAAGGAACAGTGCATGTTTGTGAACTAGCCAGCCAGCAAACTATGAAAGGCGCTTTACGCTAGCTAACTTAGTTAGCCAGTCAGGAAGCTTTAGCTAGCTAACTGACAAGGACAAGAGATATTTTCACAATCGTTCAATCAACATTATTGTTCATATTCATATTTTACTAAATCATTACTCTAATGAAAGTGTAACATTGGCTGGTGTTACTAGCTAGCTAACGTACAATGTAACTAGCTAACGTTAGCTAGCTAGGCCGCTTGCCCTTGTCAAGTGTCATGCAACCTATTTCATTCAATTCTCATAAAACGTAATGATTCATAACTGATCATGTTATCTTAACATGAGTACATTCTTATAACCATACCGTTTGCGATACAACAGATCGAATTGCAGAATTTAAAAACATCTTCACAGCGTAGTTTCGTCCCGTTGATACAACACTTATTGGACGACAGCAATGGCTGACATCAACACATCGATTAACGGTGCGCTCGATTGAGAGAGTCTGGTTTACGTAACGTGTTGACTTCTGAAGTAAAACTAATCTACCACAGATCAAAATGATCAGAAATGTGACGCTTATTACAATTTATTTCTGTACAAATGTATCTCCATAATGTGAATAATCCCAGATGATTATTATTAGGTTGATTTAACCTTCAGTATTTGCATGTACATCTGTATTTTTCGGTATACTCCCTTGTTCAGCAATATGAGTGTCGTAAAAGCTGGTGACATAAGGCAGTGGTTGGTCATGGCAAACAGTTAAAACAAGAGTTTCTATTGGACAAATTCAGTTGAGCCCCTCCCCGTTCCATTCCGTTTGTTTCGGTTAAAGAAACGTTTTGCAACAGAATTGGCGTAACCCCAGGTGTTTAATCATATGGAAAGCCGTTTGAACATATAGGACGGAGGTGGGCCGAAGCCGAAAAACCTGAAATTGATCGATCTCCGTCGAGGGAGGAGCTGAATGTTTGTATATGACAGTAAAATATTCTTATGATGACTGTAACATTTGTTGACACCTTCAATTCGTGCACATTTTCTCATAAAAAAGTATATTTCAACACTGTCTGCTCAGGCAAATTTGCTGAACTGCTAAACTTGGAACCAATCAGAACTCCCGTACATACCCCTAGTGATGAAGGCAGCCAATGGCCTGCTTCTATCTACGATGTGGACAACAACCTATTTTGAAAACGTGAGCTGCTGTCTAATGAAGATGCACAGCTATAGCTAGCTCCCAAAGACTGAAATAAGATACATATCTGTTTTCGAGTGCACTTGAAATATGCAGCATGCAAAACGAATTGTCTTGATCGTATGAAGAGGTAATTCCGTTGACCATTTTTTTAAATTATTTTTTATTTCACCTTTATTTAACCAGGTAAGCCAGTTGAGAACAAGTTCTCATTTCCAACTGCGACCTGGCCAAGATAAAGCAAAGCAGTGCGATAAAAACAACAACACAGAGTTACATATGGGGTAAAACAAAACATAAAGTCAAAAATACAACAGAAGATATATATACAGTGTGTGCGAATGTAGTAAATTATGGAGGTAAGGCAATGAATAGCCCATAGTGCAAAATAGTTACAATTTCGTATTAACACTGGAATGATAGATGTGCAAAAGATGATGTGCAAATTAGCGAAATAAATAACAATATGGGGATGAGGTAGTTGGGTGGGCTAATTTCAGATGGGCTGTGTACAGGTGCAGTGATCGGTAAGGTGCTCTGACAACTGATGCTTAAAGTTAGTGAGGGAGATAAGAGTCTCCAGCTTCAGAGATTTTTGCAGTTCGTTCCAGTCATTGGCAGCAGAGAACTGGAAGGAATGGCGGCCAAAGGAGGTGTTGGCTTTGGGGATGACCAGTGAGATATACCTGCTGGAGCGCATACTACGGGTGGGTGTTGCTATGGTGACCAATGAGCTAAGATAAGGCAGGGATTTGCCTAGCAGTGATTTATAGATGGCCTGGAGCCAGTGGGTTTGGTGACGAATATGTAGTGAGGACCAGCCAACAAGAGCGTACAGGTCACAGTGGTGGTTAGTATATGGGGCTTTGGTGACAAAACGAATGGCACTGTGATAGACTACATCCAATTTGCTGAGTGTTGGAGGCTATTTTCAAATACTAAATGTTCAGTGAATGTGAGTATATTTAGGTGGTTTAAATGATGAACTTTCCTACTAATCTTCTAAAAGTTGATGATGCCAAATTCATTAATTATTCTACTAACTATGACTGAGTGTGAGACGTTTTTCCATAATGTAAGTTTCATGCATTAAAACAAATAGTGTTTCACCATTTATTGTGTAGGGAGACAAAATAGCAAAGGTGTCTCGGGCAGTATGTGAAGTATCTAAATATAGTGTAACCTACCAATCAATGTATATCAAGTGCTGTGGAGGGCACAATCTTTACAATGTTGCAGTCCATATATGAGAGCTTTACCATCTATGCCAAAAGCCTGGGCCTCTGATGGAGACTGTAGAACTGTCATCAACGCATGCTTCAGTATTCCCCCCTTCTTTCTAGGAGCATTTGTGTGCCCAGACCCCATAGGCGTATCGAAAAGGATCCCACCCTGGTCACCAATGTAACTGACCAATGTAGAGTTAGTTACAAGTGCAGAATGTAATCTAAAGCTTGGGTGGTTCTAGAACTCTACCATCTGTGGCAAAAGCCTGAGCTCCTGACGGGGACAATAGAATTCTCCTCACTGCATCTTACAATAGTAAAATAATCACCTGTTGAACCGATTCTACATTGAATTTAGTCCTCGAGATGCTCAAACAAGCACGTGTATCGGTAGTGGGTGTTCTTCAACTCTAAACCCACAGCGAAAAGACAACAGGCAAATGCATACAGTGCCTTCGGAAAGTATTCAGACCCCTTGACTTTTTCCACATTTTGTTACGTTACAGCCTTATTCTAAAATGGATTAAATATAATTTTTTTCCTCAGCAATTTACACACAATACCCCATAATGACGAAGTGAAAACAGGTTTTTAGAATTTTTTGCAAATTGATAAAAAATAAAAAACAGATACCTTATTTACATAAGTATTCAGACCCTTTGCTATGAGACTCGAAATTGAGCTCAGGTGCATCCTGTTTCCATTGATCATCCTTGAGATGTTTCTACAACTTGATTGGAGTCCACCTGTGGTAAATTCAATTGATTGGACATGATTTGGAAAGGCACACACTTGTCTATATAAGGTCCCACAGTTGACAGAGCATGTCAGAGCAAAAACCAAGCCATGAGGTCGAAGGAATTGTCCGTATAGCTCTGAGACATGATTGTGTCGAGGCACAGATCTGGGGAAGGGTACCAAAAAATTTCTGCAGCATTGAAGGTCCCCAAGAACAGGCCTTTATGGTAGAGTGGCCAGACGGAAGCCACTCCTCAGTAAAAGGCCCATGACAGCCCACTTAGAGTTTGCCAAAAGGCACTTAAAGACTCTTAGACCATGAGAAACAAGATTCTCTGGTTTGATGAAACCAAGATTGAACTCTTTGGCCTGAATGCCAAGCGTCACGTCTGGAGGAAACCTGGCACCATCCCTACGGTGAAGCATGGTGGTGGCAGCATCATGCTGTGGGGATGTTTTTCAGCGGCATGGACTTGGAGACTAGTCAGAATCAAGGAAAAGATGAACGTAGCAAAGTACAGAGAGATCCTTGATGAAAACCTGCTCCAGAGCACTCAGTCCTGGGCGAAGGTTCAGCTTCCAACAGGACAACGACCCTAAGCACACAGCCAAGACAACGCAGGAGTGGCTTCGGGACAAGTCTCTGAATGTCCTTGAGTGGCCCAGCCAGAGCTCGGACTTGAACCTGATCGAACATCTCTGGAGAGACCTGAAAATAGCTGTGCAGCGACGCTCCCCATCCAACCTGACAGAGCTTGAGAGGATCTGCAGAGAAGAATGGGAGAAACTCCCCAAATACAGCTGTGCCAAGCTTGTAGAGTCATACCCAAGAAGACGAGGCTGTAATCGCTGCCAAAGGTGCTTCAACAAAGTACTGAGTAAAGGGTCTGAATACTTACGTAAACGTGATATGTCCGTTTTTTATTTTTAATACATTTGCAAAAATGTATAAAAACCTGTTTTTGCTTTGTTATTATGGGGTCTGGGGTGTAGATTATAGTTTTTTTCCTCATCAATGTAATACATTTTTGAAATGAGGCTGTAACGTAACAAAATGTGGAAACATTAAAGGGGTCTGAATACTTTCCGAATGCCCCCAATGTCTAAATAGTGACGGATAGTTCATGCTGCAGTAGGATGGTTCTCCTCAGGTGAATAGCACTTGGTTGATCTCTGGGAGCAGGACACAGGAGAGCTGTTTGGAAGAGGGAGAACGACGCTGGGAAAAGGAACGCGGAGCTGGATCGACAACGTGATAGCAGGTCTAGAAGTCAGCAAGGTGGAGCTGTAATCCGGCAACTTTGTATGAACTTCAGTAGCGGTGCGTGGGTAAAATCACTGGGGAAGCCAGAAAAAAAAGCCATATGATAACCTATGTGTTGTGATAATTGTGTTGTTTGCTCTATAACCTGTTCGTTCATATGCCTCGAGACCGTGATATACAGTTGAAGTCGGAAGTTTACATCTTACCCAAATACATTTAAACTCAGTTTTTCATAATTCCTGACATTTAATCCTAGTAAAAATTCCCTGTCTTAGGTCAGTTAGGATCACCACTTTATTTTAAGAATGTGAAATGTCAGAATAATAGTAGAGAGAATGATTTATTTAAGCTTTTATTTATTTCATCACATTCCCAGTGGGTCAGAAGTTTACATACACTCAATTAGCATTTGGTAGCATTGCCTTTCAATTGTTTAACTTGGGTCAAACGTTTCGGGTAGCCTTCCACAAGCTTCCCACAATAAGTTGGGTGAATTTTGGCCCATTCCTCCTGACAGAGCTGGTGTAACTGAGTCAGGTTTGAAGGCCTCCTTGCTCACACACGCTTTTTCAGTTCTGCCCACACATTTTCTATAGGATTGAGGTCAGGGTTTTGTGATGGCCACTCCAATTCCTTGACTTTGTTGTCCTTAAGCCATTTTGCCACAACTTTGGAAGTATGCTTGGGGTGATTGTCCATTTGGAAGACCCATTTGCGACCAAGCTTTAACTTCCTGACTGATGTCTTGAGATGTTGCTTCAATATATCCACATCATTTTCCTTCCTCATTATGCAATCTATTTTGTGAAGTGCACCAGTCCCTCCTGCAGAAAAGCACCCCCACAGCATGATGCTGCCACTCCCGTGCTTCACGGTTGGGGTGGTGTTCTTCGGCTTGCAAGCATTCCCCTTTTTCCTCCAAACATAACGATGGTCATTATGGTCAAACAGTTCTATTTTTGTTTCATCAGACCAGAGGACCTTTCTCCAAAAAGTACGATCTTTGTCCCCATGTGGTTGCAAACCGTAGTCTGGCTTTTTTATGGCGGTTTTGGAGCAGTGGCTTCTTCCTTCCTGACCGGCCTTTCAGGTTATGTCGATATAGGACTCGTTTTACTGTGGATATAGATACTTTTGTACCTGTTTCCAGCATCTTCACAAGGTCCTTTGCTGTTGTTCTGGGATTGATTTGCACTTTTCGCACCAAAGTACGTTCATCTCTAGGAGACAGAACGTGTCTCCTTCCTGGGCGGTATGACGGCTGCGTGGTCCCATGGTGTTTATACATGCATACTATTGTTTGTGCAGATGAACGTGGTACCTTCAGGCATTTGGAAATCGCTTCCAAGGATTCCAGAAAATGATGTCATGGCTTTAGAAGCTTCTGATAAGGCTAATTGACATCATTTGAGTCAATTGGAGGTGTACCTCTGGATGTATTTCAAGGCCTACCTTCAAAATCAGTGCCTCTTTGCTTGACATCATGGGAAAATCATGGTTCTGATTTCTGTGTGTGTGCGTTCATGCAAGTAGAAGAAACATGTTGACTCACCCTACTTGCAGAGAAACGCCAACGCCATCCTCCTCTCTTTCATGTTGATGAAACGGTCTATCACTCTGTCATAAAGTACACGCTGTTATTTTTTGTTGTCCTAGGCTACCTGGCTAAAATGCTTCCTCACTAGCCTAACTTCCATTCATGGGCAACGTTAGCTAGTTAACATTAGCATAACTTCTACATCTAGCTACATATTGAACTTCCATCCTCTCAGGTCAGGGGCACAACAATGTATGAATTAATGGTTGGATCAGAATCACCGTTATAATCATTGGCCAGTACGGAGAATTAAGTTAAACCACAAGTCCAAATCCCTATCTCCATCCATGGCTAATTTAGGAAAGGGCTTCCTTTGGCATCCATGAATACACGCCACTGATGAACTTCGAAGTTGAGCAATGGCGAAGGAAGGAGAAACTGGTTATGAGGAAGCGATGTTGGGCGAACAGGAATATTGGGACAGGGACACAGAAAGGTTTCTGGTTTCTGAGGAGGAAGAAGAGGTCCAAGAGAATGAGGAAAGCGGTTGAAGTCTAATTTGAGGAATATGGAGATGAAAAATGGAGATGGGATGTCGAAGAAGATTGGTGTCTAGTGCAGATTGATCCATGCGCCAGACCGAGTTCTGGAGGTGAAATGGAAGTGGATGAGGGTGAGTTAAGTGAGGTGGAAGGTGTGGTGAAGAGCTCGGAGCCCGAGCCTGGCATCAATGGACATGATAAAGAAGAATCTGGTCCAGTAGGAGTGACATTTTTGGAGAAAGTGGATCCTTGCCTTTTGGGGGATCCATTTGTTGTTTCATGGTGGGTGGGAAAGGAGTTGGGTGCAGTTGAATCAGGGAAGGTAACCTGTATTGGATTTGTGATATTTGTTTGTGTTTCTTCTGACCAGAGGAGCGGGCGCTCCTTGTCACTCAACTTTCTTGGTTTGCACTTAGGAATAGGGCGCCATTGAAAGGAGGGATTTCAGGGGTAGCGTTAAGTGTTGAGGTGGACCAATTGAAGTTGTAGATTCCTGGTGTTTGTGATGCCCGCTGTTTGGTGCGAGGCAGACCTGGTGGTGAGCGTGGTGAAACAGAGGAGTCACTGTCAGTCCTTTTGCATTTTGAGTCAGAGTCATTACCTGACAAAGTCAAGTTAGGATATATCAGTTATCCTGTTAGAGCTTTTGTGCCGAATCCATTGCCGGTGTTTCAGGTGCAAAGTTTATGGTCATGTTGCAGCAGTTTGTAGGAGGGAGATTCCAAGATGTGGGAAGTGTGCAGGAGGGCATGGGATAGAGGATTGTGTAGTTTCGGTGGATAAAGTTGTGTGTGTCAACTGTAGGGGTGCCCATGTTGCTGGGGATTGGAAGTGTCCGGTGCGAGAGAGGCAGGTTGAGGTGGCCAGAGTCAGAGCAGTGCAGAAGGTGTCGTTGAGGCAGTGGAGAAAGTAGAGAGGGATGGGTCAAGGGTCAAGGGTCAAGGGTGAGGGATCCTGAGAGGATTCTTTTATTTTTACTATTTTCTACATTGTAGAATAATAGTGAAGACATCAAAACTATGAAATAACACATATGGAATCATGTAGTGACCAAAAAAGCGTTAAACAAATCAAAATATATTTTATATTTGAGATTCTTCAAAGTAGCCACCCTTTCCTTGGTGACAGCTTTGCACACTCTTGGCATTATCTCAATCAGCCTCATGAGGTAGTCACCTGGAATGCATTTCAATTAACAGGTGAGCCTTGTTAAAAGTTAATTTGTGGAATGTATTTCCTTCTTAATGCATTTGAGCCAATCCTTTGTGTTGTGACAAGGTAGGGGTGGTATACAGAAGATAGCCCTATTTGGTAAATGACCAAGTCCATATTATGGCAAGAACAGCTCAAATAAGCAAAGAGAAACGACAGTCCATCATTACTTTAAGACATGAAGGTCAGTCAATCCGGAACATTTCAAGAACTTTGAAAGTTTCTTCAAGTGCAGTCGCAAAAACCATCAAGCGCTATGATGAAACTGGCTCTCAGGAGGACCGCCACAGGAAAGGAAGACCCAGAGTTACCTCTGCTGCAGAGGATAAGTTCATTAGAGTTAACTGCACCTCAGAAATTGCAGTCCAAATAAATGCTTCACAGAGTTCAAGTAACAGACACATCTCAACATCAACTGTTCAGAGGAAACTGTGTGAATCAGGCCTTCATGGTCGAATTGCTGCAAAGAAACCACTACTAAAGGACACCAATAAGAAGAAGAGACTTGCTTGGGCCAAGAAATCTGTCCTTTGGTCTGATAAGTCCAAATTTGAGATTTTTGGTTCCAACCGCCGTGTCTTTGTGAGACGCAGAGTAGGTGAACGGATGATCTGCGCATGTGTGGTTCCCACGGGGAAGCATGGAGGAGGAGGTGTGATGGTGTGGGGGTGCTTTGCTGGTGATACTGTCTGTGATTTATTTAGAATTCAAGGCACACTTAACCAGCATGGCTACCACAGCATTCTGCAGCGATACGCCATCCCATCTGGTTAGGGCTTAGTGGGACTATCATTTGTTTTTCAACAGGACAATGACCCAACACACCTCCAGGCTGTGTAAGGGCTATTTGACCAAGAAGGAGAGTGATGGAGTGCTGCATCAGATAACCTGGCCTCCACAATCACCCGACCTCAACCCAACCCAATTGAGATTTTGGGATGAGTTGGACCGCAGAGTGAAGGAAAAGCAGCCAACAAGTGCTCAGCATGTGTGGGAACTCCTTCAAGACTGTTGGAAAAGCATTCCTGATGAAGCTGGTTGAGAGAATGCCAAGAGTGTGCAAAGCTTTCATCAAGGCAAAGGGTGGCTACTTTGAAGAATCTCAAATATAAAATATATTTTGATTTGTTTAACACTTCATTGTGTTATTTCATAGTTTTGATGTCTTCACTATTATTCTACAATGTAGAAAATAGTAAAAATAAAGCAAAACCCTTGAATGAGTAGGTGTGTCCAAACCTTTGACTGGGACTGTATGTTAAAACGGCATTCCATAGTAATCTTTAATGACTAACTGTCACTCTGTCTGACTGTCTCTCTGTACTGTCGGACTGTCTGTCTGTGCTGTCTGACTGTCGTACTGTCTGTACTGTCTGACTGTCGTACTGTCTGTCTCTCTGTCTGTACTGTCTGACTGTACTGTCTGTACTGTCTCTCTGTCTGTACTGTCTGACTGTACTGTCTGTACTGTCTGTCTGTCTGGACTGTCTGTACTGTCTCTCTGTCTGTACTGTCTCTCTGTCTGTACTGTCTGTACTGTCTGACTGTACTGTCTGTACTGTCTGTCTGTCTGGACTGTCTCTCTGTCTGTACTGTCTGACTGTACTGTCTGTACTGTCTGTCTGTCTGGACTGTCTGTACTGTCTCTCTGTCTGTACTGTCTCTTTGTCTGTACTGTCTCTCTGTCTGTCTGTACTGTCTGACTGCCTGCCTGTCTGTCATTCTGTCTGACTCCCTGCCTGCCGGTCCATCTGTCGCTCAGCCTAGCATTCATGGTTCTGACTAAAGGAAGTACACCTACGACCGGAAGTTACGTTTTCATAGCAGGTTAGGAGAATTAACGTGGCAGGTTAGGAGACTTAGGTTAAGGTTAGGGTTAGCTAAAATACTCTCCTAACCTGCTACGAAAAGTAACTGCCGGTTGTAGCTGTTCTTCCAGCATTCACCCAGCCTACCGATGCATTCCCCCTCATACAGAATATCTCTGAAAATAATGTGATCAACAGCCAATGAAAAAGGTGGGAGTGCCATGTTGAGCGTTTTGATTGGCTCCCTTGGCACCAAGCAGGCTGCGGAAGGGACACCAAATCTGGGATTAGGGGTGTGGCCAGAGCATAGGCACAATGTACCGCTCCAATGCCTGAAGCTTTCTGCAGCTGTCTGTGTCCGGCATCACCTCTAGTCCCCCTCTTCTAGCCTTGGATGGTAGACAGATCAGATCAGTGGATTTACCTATTTCTCTCTTTCTCTCCAGTCAAGCAACAATGGTGGTCCCTGGCTCTCAACACATAGAGGACAATATTTACCATCCTCCAGAGGGTTTGCAGAAGGACGCTCATGTGCCTGACTTCAACTGTTATCTGGAACTTTACAGGAAGTCTATTGAGGAGCCGGAAGGTAGGTTACGAAGGCCTTGTGGCATGTGTGCTTGTTGCTTGCAGAATAACTGAAGCTTTGTGTTGGTATGTCCTGTGCTCATGACTCATGCAATATATTATTATATTAATTGTGTGTGTGTCTGTCTGTCTGTCTGTCTGTCTGTCTGTCTGTCTGTCGGTCTGTCTGTCTGTCTGTCTGTCGGTCTGTCTGTCTGTCTCTAAACAACGTTTGTATGATAATGTATGCACTCACTAACTGTAAGTCGCTCTGGAGAAGAGCGTCTGCTAAATGACTAAAAATGTAAATGTTAATGTATGTCCTTTTTTTCTTGCTGTATTCTTGCCAGTATTCTGGAAAGAGGTTGCTAGTGACTTCTATTGGAAGAAGCCTCCGACGGGGACACATTCTGCAGTATAACTTTGATGTAACCAAAGGGAATATTTATGTCAGATGCATGGAGGGGGCCAAAACCAACATGTGTTACGACGTCCTGGACAGGAACGTGAAGGATAAGAATCGTGGTGAACGAAGTGGCATTCTACTGGTAAGAAAAGACCACAAGTTGCATTTGACTCTTTCTGACTTGTTTAGAATAAAACAGTAAAGTCAGTGAAAAATAATGCAGCCTGTATTTGAGGCACTGTTTGTAGCATAGCTATTTGAAGCATCCACGTCCCCCCCGGTGCGCCCCCCAGTACGGGAGAGCAAGTCCTCTAGACAGCACAGTACCACTGTCTAATCCGTTTCTACAGCAACACCCTAGCTTGCTATGTGTGTACTGAATGGGTCTACTGTAGACGATTTTGAGCTTTTTCATTTCATACATGAGCAAAAATGTACTTTGTCAAAGTGTGAAGATTGAACTTCTCAGACAAGAAATACCTGTTTCTCAGAGAGCCAGGGCTCAGATGGGGGGGGGGGGGTTTAGGGTCATGTATACTGAGACCAACGGGAAACTAGCACCCAACACCTTGAGGGTTTCAGAGTCAAGAGATAAGGTGTTTTAACTGTACACAACACTAGATCGACTGACACATCCAGCTCCAACAGTATTGGGACAGGAACATTTTTGTTGTTGTTTTGGCTCTGTACTCCAGCACTTTGGATTTGAAATGATAAAATGACTACGAGGTTAAAGTGCAGACTTTAATTTGAGGGTAGTTTCATCGTTTAGCAATTACAGCACTTTTTGTACATAGTCTCCCCATTTTAGGGGACCAAAAGTCCCATATTCCTAGCGCGCTGTCACGAATTCAGCCGAGGTTGCCCCTCCTTGCTCGGGCAGGTTTCGGCGTTCGTCGTCACCGGCTTACTAACCACTGCCGCTCCATTTATCATCACTCCACTAGTCTTGTCTTGTCTTGTCAATCACACACACCTGGTACTCATTCCCTCATTAGTCTGTGTATATGTGTTCCCTTGTCCTTTGAGAGTGATTGTTCATTGTGAGAGTGAGTAACTCGGTTGAGCTACTCTTTCCATGTATGTAGCCAAGGTGGATTTTCCCTTGTGCTAGTTTCGTTTTGACGCTTGCTGCGCTTTATTCATGTACACTGAATAAACTCTGGATTTCGGTGTTTTACCTCCTGTGCCTGACTCCGTCATTCACACCTCATCACACACGCGGGACGTAGCTTAGTGGTTAAGAGCGTTGTGCCAGTAACCGAAAGGTCGCTGGTTCTAATCCCCGAGCTGACTAGGTGAAAAATCTGTTGACGTGTTCTTGAGCAAGGCACTTAACCCTAATTGCTCCTGTAAGTCGCTCTGGATAAGAGCGTCTGCTAAATGACAAAAAACACACACAAAAAACGCGCAATAATTACATCAAGCTTGTGACTCTACAAACTTGTTAAATGCATTTGCTGTTTGTTTTGGTTGTGTTTCAGATTATTTTGTGCCCAATAGAAATGAATGGTAAATAACGTATTGTCACTTTTCTATTGTAAATCAGAATATAATATGTTTCTAAACACTTCTACATTAATGTGGATGCTACCATGATTATGGATAGTCCTGAATGAATCGTGAATAATGATGAGTGACACATTAGATGACATAGTAGCAACAGCATCCACCCTTTATCTGGGTAGAGCTTTCACATTACCCATCGACAAGGGGTTTCACATGTGATAGAAGAAATTGTGTAATTCTTGGAAATCACTCACATGCAATGACATAGTAACGCCAGAATATGGCTGTGTGAGTTATGATGAGATTGTCATACCTGCAGGTCTTAGATTAGACACACTATGCGGCAGGTAGCTTAGTGGTTAAGAGCGTTGTGCCAGTAACCGAAAGGTCGCTGGTTCTAATCCCCAAGCCGACTAGGGGAAAAAAAATCTGTCTGTGCCCTTGAGCAAGGCACTTAACCCTAATTGCTCCATGACTAAAATGTAAATGTAAAATGTATGTCTGGTCACCAGCCTGTCATCAGACCACTGGCGTTACAAGGGTAGTGGGTTCGATCCCCGGGACCACCCGTACGTAAAAATGTATGCGCACATGACTGTAAGTCGCTTTGGATAAAAACGTCTGCTAAATGGCATATTATTATTATTATTATTATTATTACAACACTGCCAGGTGCGACTCTTGTTAAGGGAATGAGACACTGCCTTGATACTGTCACTGGCCTGTTCTCAATCATTGCGTTATCCAGAGAGCTGTAATATTCTGTAAGGTTAGCTGTAACTGTAAGGTTTTGTGAATGCCTGAGACGGTAATATCTGTCTCTTCAGCATGCAGCCAGACGGAGGCCTAGTCTGCCTGGCCTGCTCACAGTCATTGGTCTGCTCTTGATCGCTGCATTATCTGGATATCTACGATATTGAAGTTATGATGTGGTTCTCTGTAGCTCAATTGGTAGAGCATGGCGCTTGTAACGCCAGGGTAGTGGGTTCGATCCCCGGGACCACCCATACGTAAAAATGTATGCACACATGACTGTAAGTCGCTTTGGATAAAAGCGTCTGCTAAATGGCATAATATTATTATATTATATTATGATATTCAAAATTGCTATTACAGTTATTAATGCCATACTAGGTAATGGAGTCAGCCACGTCTCTTCGTCGTGCGCATTGCATCCACTAACTGGCTGATCAGATTAACGGCGGTACAACAGGTGGGGTCAGATCCAAGCTTTATCCAGGCAGACTGTCATGGTGACTGGGTGGCTTGGGAGTTGAGACAGACTTGTGCAACAGTGTGCTGCATAACCAAAAAAGCATCTGACAGGCAATCAAACCTAATATAGACCGAACGAGCTGCTAAAGGAACATCCTATCTATCTATCGATCTATCTGAGGAAACCACAGGATGTTTTGCTACATTTTGGATTGAAATGACAGAAGTTGTGTTTTAACATAACGCAACAGGGTGTAAGTGGGTGAGGGCTGAGGGGAAATCGGTTAAATCATTGGAAAGTTTAATAAAAAACAATGTCTGGATTTGAACGTAATGGCACTTGAAGGTTAGTCCCAAATGGCACAATATAGGGTTCCTTTTCAGCCGTAGCCAACTTTGATGAATGACCACATACATTTACATTTTACATTTTAGTCATTTAGCAGACGCTCTTATCCAGAGCGACTTACATGAGCAATTAGGGTTAAGTGCCTTGCTTAAGGGCACATCGACAGATTTTTCACCTAGTCGGCTCGTGGATTAGAACCAGCGACCTTTCGGTTACTGGCACAACACTCTTACCCACTAAGCTACCTGCCACCCTGTTGTTGACTCGGATGATAAAAGGCTTGATGTTTAATGTCTGTTCTCCAGGGAGGGGAACTCACCGGATCACCACGTGGCCATCACCTACAGCCAGCTGCTGAGACATGGTGTGCAGGTGTTCCAACGTTCTAAAGCAGATGGGTAAGGCGGTACGCCTCAGTGTTGCTAGCTTCCACTTTCCCCAATTTACTACTACTCTGAATAACATTCATAATGGTGCCACCTTTTTCTTTTGACATGTTTTAAATACTCAGCTTCCCTGTCACAACCAGCACCAGCACAACATTGCCCTTTAACTTAATGTGATCATATACAGCTAAATACCTTATATATACACTACGGTTCAAAAGTTTGGGGTCACTTAGAAATGTCCTTGTTTTTGAAAGAAAAGCTATTTTTTTGTCCATTAAAATAACATTAAATTGATCAGAAATACCGTGTAGACATTGTTCATGGTGTAAATGGCTATATGAGAAACAGGCGCCTCACAGGTCCTCAACTGGCAGCTTCATTAAATAGTACCCGCAAAACACCAGTCTCAACGTCAACAGTGAAGAGGCGACCCCGGGATGCTGACCTTCTAGGCAGAGTTGCAAAGAAAAAGCCATATCTCAGACTGCCCATCTTAATCTTTTCTTTTTATTGGCCAGTCTGAGATATGACTTTTTCTTTGCAACTCTGCCTAGAAGGTCAGCATCCCGGAATCGCCTCTTCACTGTATATTAGACACTCTAATGTATTTGTCCTCTTGCTCAGTTGTGCACCGGGGCCTCCCACTCCTCTTTCTATTCTGGTTAGAGCCAGTTTGCGCTGTTCTGTGAAGGGAGTAGTACACAGCGTTGTATGAGATCTTTAGTTTCTTGGCAATTTCTCGCGTGGAATAGCCTTCATTTCTCAGAACAAGAATAGACTGACGAGTTTCAGAACAAAGTTCTTTGTTTCTGGCCATTTTGAGCCTGTAATCGAACCCACAATTGCTGATGCTCCAGATACTCAACTAGTCTCAAGAAGGCCAGTTTTATTGCTTCTTTAATCAGCACAACAGTTTTCAGCTGTGCTAACATAATTGCAAAAGGGTTTTCTAATGATCAATTAGCCTTTTAAAATGAGAAACTTGGATTAGCAAACACAACGTGCCATTGGAACACAGGACTGATGGTTGCTGATAATGGGCCTCTGTACGTCTATGTAGATATTCCATAAAAAATCTGCCGTTTCCAGCTACAATAGCCATTTAGAACATTAACAATGTCTACACTGTATTTCTGATCAATTTGATGTTATTTTAATGGACCAAAAATTTGCTTTTCTTTCAAAAACAAGGACATTTCTAAGCGACCCCAAACTTTTGAACGGTAGTGTATATATATTTATATATATTTATTTAACCTTTATTTAACCAGGTAAGCCAGTTGAGAACAGGTTCTCATTTACAACTGCGACCTATATATATATATATATATATATATATATATATGTATATCATTTATATACACTACCGCTCAAAAGTTTGGACACAGCTACTCATTCAAGGGTTTCTCTTTACTTTTACTATTTTCTACATTGTAGAATAATAGTGAAGACATCAAAACTATGAAATAACACATATGGAATCATGTAGTAACCAAAAAAGTGTTAAACAAATCAAAATATATTTTTATATTTGAGATTCTTCAAATAGCTCCCTTTGCCTTGATGACAGCTTTGGACACTCTTGGCATTCTCTCAACCAGCTTCATGAGGTAGTCACCTGGAATGCATTTCAATCAACAGGTGTGCCTTCTTAAAAGTTCATTTGTGGAATTTCTTTCCTTCTTAATGCATTTAAGCCAATCAGTTGTGTTGTGACAAGGTAGGGGTGGTATACAGAAGATAGCCCTATTTCGTAAAATACCAAGTCCATATTATGGCAAGAACAGCTCAAATAAGCAAAGAGAAACGACAGTCCATCATTACTTTAAGACATGAAGGTCAGTCAATACGGAACATTTCAAGAACTTTGAAAGTTTATTCAAGTGCAGTCGCAAACACCATCAAGCGCTATGATGAAACTGGCTCTCATGAGGATCGCCACAGGAATGGAAGACCCAGAGTTACCTCTGCTGCAGAGGATAAGTTCATTAGAGTTACCAGCCTCAGAAATTGCAGCCCAAATAAATGCTTCACAGAGTTCAAGTAACAGACACATCTCAACATCAACTGTTCAGAGGAGACTGCGTGAATCAGGCCTTCATGGTCGAATTGCTGCAAAGAAACCACTACTAAGAAGAAGGGACATGATTGGGCCAAGAAACACGAGCAATGGACATTAGACTGGTGGAAATTTGTTCTTTGGTCTGGAGTCCAAATTGGAGATTTCGGGTTCCAATCGCATGTGTAATTCCCACCGTAAAGCATGGAGGATGAGGTGTTATGGTGTGGGGGTGCTTTGCTGGTTGACACTGTCTGTGATTTATTTACTTAACCAGCATGGCTACCACAGCATTCTGCAGCGATACGCCATCCCATCTGGTTTGGGCTTAGTGGGACTATCATTTGTTTTTCAACAGGACAATGACCCAACACACCTGTTGCATCAGATGACCTGGCCTCCACAATCACCCGACCTCAACCCAATTGAGATGGTTTGGGATGAGTTGGACCACAGAGTGAAGGAAAAGCAGCCAACAAGTGCTCAGCATATGTGGGAACTCCTTCAAGATTGTTGGAAAAGCATTCCAGGTGAAGCAGGTTGAAAAAATGCCAAGAGTGTGCAAAGCTGCCATCAAGGCAAAGAATCTCAAATCTCAAATATATTTTCATTTGTTTAACACTTTTTTGGTTACTACATGATTCCATATGTGTTATTTCATAGTTTTGATGTCTTCACTATTATTCTACAGTGTTGAAAATAGTAAAAAAAATTAAGAAAAACCCTGGAATGAGTGTGTCCAAACGTTTGACTGGTGCTGTATATAAATCCTCTACCATTTTGTCTTCTGGCGTGTGTTACAGGAGTGAGGAAGGGAGACAGGGTGGCCATCTACCTGAGCTGGTCTACACCATGCTGGCCTGCGCCAGGATAGGAGCTGTCCACTCCATCGTGGTCAGTGCAGGGATTGACATTAAGGGTTGCCCTATTGCCCGGGGAAAGTTGTAATAGGAATTCCAGGTGAACGAAAGAGAAGACCAGTCACAGATTAAGTCAATCATAAATCAATCTGGTTTATTCCAAGTTGCAACAGGGAGACACCTCCAGCACAGAAGCAGAGAAAATGTCTAACTGGCCTTTTCTGAGAAGGCCCTTATATCCTAATCAGCAGACAACTGTTCTGCAAAAACCAGCCTGAGAGACTTGTAGAAACTCAGTGTTTTACAGACTGCAATAACAATCGGTGACTGGCTTCAATCCCTATCAACAGATATGAGTTTAATCCAGAACATAGTCTCTAGTCTAGTGACCATCAACCAGTGTTACAAACAACACTGGAAATCATATGTATTACAAAAAGGCAAAATATATATATATATATATGCTAAACATTGTGTTAATCACCCTAAACTGAATATGAACTTTCTTCATCTGAAATATTCCCGTTACACAAGTGAACTGAGCAGTCGTGCTAGTTGAGCTTGCCCTGCTCTCCCATTGGGCAGGTGATTATAGTGGCCCTGCTCTCCCATTGGGCAGGTGATTATAGTGGCCCTGCTCTCCCATTGGGCAGGTGATTATAGTGGCCCTGCTCTCCCATTGGGCAGGTGATTATAGTGGCCCTGCTCTCCCATTGGGCAGGTGATTATAGTGGCCCTGCTCTCCCATTGGGCAGGTGATTATAGTGGCCCTGCTCTCCCATTGGGCAGGTGATTATAGTGGCCCTGCTCTCTCATTGGGCAGGTGATTATAGTGGCCCTGCTCTCCCATTGGGGAGGTGATTATAGTGGCCCTGCTCTCTCATTGGGCAGGTGATTATAGTGGCCCTGCTCTCTCATTGGGCAGGTGATTATAGTGGCCCTGCTCTCCCATTGGGCAGGTGATTATAGTGGCCCTGCTCTCTCATTGGGCAGGTGATTATAGTGGCCCTGCTCTCCCATTGGGCAGGTGATTATAGTGGCCCTGCTCTCTCATTGGGCAGGTGATTATAGTGGCCCTGCTCTCCCATTGGGCAGGTGATTATAGTGGCCCTGCTCTCCCATTGGGCAGGTGATTATAGTGGCCCTGCTCTCCCATTGGGCAGGTGATTATAGTGGCCCTGCTCTCCCATTGGGCAGGTGATTATAGTGGCCCTGCTCTCTCATTGGGCAGGTGATTATAGTGGCCCTGCTCTCCCATTGGGCAGGTGATTATAGTGGCCCTGCTCTCTCATTGGGCAGGTGATTATAGTGGCCCTGCTCTCCCATTGGGCAGGTGATTATAGTGGCCCTGCTCTCTCATTGGGCAGGTGATTATAGTGGCCCTGCTCTCCCATTGGGCAGGTGATTATAGTGGCCCTGCTCTCCCATTGGGCAGGTGATTATAGTGGCCCTGCTCTCCCATTGGGCAGGTGATTATAGTGGCCCTGCTCTCCCATTGGGCAGGTGATTATAGTGGCCCTGCTCTCCCATTGGGCAGGTGATTATAGTGGCCCTGCTCTCCCATTGGGCAGGTGATTATAGTGGCCCTGCTCTCCCATTGGGCAGGTGATTATAGTGGCCCTGCTCTCTCATTGGGCAGGTGATTATAGTGGCCCTGCTCTCCCATTGGGCAGGTGTTTATAGTGACAACACCCAAACTGGAAAGAATTCCAGTAGCCTAAAACTGATATTCATGGTTCCTCCTCACTGTTTAAGTGAATCATGGTTCCTCCTCATTGTTTAAGTGAATCATGGTTCCTCCTCACTGTTTAAGTGAATCATGGTTCCTCCTCATTGTTTAAGTGAATCATGGTTCCTCCTCCTCATTGTTTAAGTGAATCATGGTTCCTCCTCATTGTTTAAGTGAAAGACAGACCATTTATGACAGTCAGGCAAGTTGAGCCTGCTCTGAGATGTTTTTTTTTACTGATAACAACCAAAATACAAAGAATTCCAGTAGTGATCTTTCCGATTCCTCCCCTATGTGTAGGTGAAAGGCCCTTCTGAGTGTAAATAGCTCATTTACATTTTCAGTGATCATAATCTTCGGGCAAACCAAAAAATACTCCTGACTTGCCCGACGGTCAAGTGCCTTTTCAGACTTCAATGTCAATCCCTGCTTTAAAGTTTAGTGGAGGTGGTTTGATCATCCACTGGCTCTCATGATGAGGAACCTTGCCTGAGACTTGACCTGAAGACTTGTGTTAGCTCCCTGATCTACTGCCTGTAGGCTTTAGCTCAGCTAGCTAATGCAGTCTTAAGGTGTGTAGATGTTCCATATTGTAATTTTCAGTTTTTATTTTCTGTGACCTGACTGTACTGACTGACGTTAAGGTACAGTGCTTATGTTAGTGTTTCTTCTGGAGAGAACGGGGTCATACTTGCCCCTGTCGGTTCTGTCTGACCTTGCCTTGCAGAGTTATCAGCTGTTCAGTAGCGTGTGAATACCAGTTGGGATAGCACCTGCATCTGTGTCCCTAACGGAACACCATTCCCTTCATAGTGCACTACTACAGAGGCTCTGGTTCACTATGAAGGGAATAGGGTGCCGTTTGGGATGCGGACGGGGGACGGGGGGGGTCAGTCTCATAGCTGTTCCTCACAGAGAATCCAGGTCCTTCTCATTCACACTATAACTGTCAGCATGCGATTTGGGATCATAGCATACATGTATAGTAATTTCCACCAGCAAGCTGAGCCCAGACACTATTTCAGTCATAACCTTGCGTCTCGAGTAGAGGTTATAGCGTATGCAGTTTAAAAATACCCCATGTCTTGTTTGTCCCAAGGTTAATTTTTTTTATAAAGAATGCAGGGCTATATTTGACCCACTTAAATATAAGTGACCACATTCCTGCTGCATCATTGTTCTATGAGCTGTGTAATGTTTCATGCATCATGAATGGGACATTCAATAAGAATGACAGAGATTGTTGGCAGTGTTTGATTGTTTGGTTTTTTTGCAGTGTCACCGCTTCTATTCTGGTGTAGCATAATTTCTCGTTTAGTTTGACACAAGGCAAATTTAAAGTTAGATGTGCTTTTGTATTTTCAATGCCATTTTGCTGAGCGTTGTTAAAACGAATGGGGTCCAGAGTCCATCACATCCTAAACTTATTTCATATAAAATGCTATGATCACGTTGAGAGGTAGGAAGACACTTTTAAATGCTAAACTGAGTAGTTTGCGTCTCTGTGATCTATTAGCCGTGTCTAATGCAGAAGTGCCCACCCCTACCCCATCTTCTAGGCTTCTCAACAGCTTCTACCCCCAAGCCATAAGACTCCTGAACAGCTAATCATGGCTACCCGGACTATTTGCACTGCCCCCCCCCCCCACCCCATCCTTTTACGCTGCTGCTACTCTGTTAATTATTTATGCATAGTCACTTTAACTCTACCCACATGTACATATTACTTCAATTATCTCAACTAGCCGGTGCCCCCGCACATTGACTCTGCACCGGTACCCCCCTGTATATATAGCCTCCCTACTGTTATTTTATTTTACTTCTGCTCTTTTTTTCTCAAAACTTTTTTGTTGTTTTACTTTACTTTTTTATTAAAATAAATAAATGCATTGTTGGTTAAGGGCTTGTAAGTAAAGCATTTCACTGTAATGTCTACACCTGTTGTATTCGGCGCATGTGGCCAATAAAATTAGATTTGATTTGAAAAGGAGCAGGCCTACAGTACATGTTGAAACTGTGAGCCTTGGCTAAAGCAGATCAGGGGACCAGGCTAACGCTAACATCAAATACCTATTTTATATATTGAACAAATGTTGATTCAGCAATAGCAATCAGTCACAATGTGTTCTGTTAAACGACTCCAATAGATGTTGGCTTCTCGCGCTGTTATACAACCTCACAGAGCTGACCTGCTGTGGTGTGTGTGTGGGTTCAGTTTGCAGGCTTCTCCTCTGAGTCTCTGTGTGAGAGGATCCTGGATTCCCAGTGCAGTATTCTGATGACTGCAGGTAAGATAGCGTGGCTACTGGCTGATGTCCAGAGCTCTAAATAAATAAATACAAAATTGGTAGCACTGGTGCTCCCAACTTCAAAAAGTTAGGAGCACAACATAAAAATCTAGGAGCGCCATAAGATATATTTTGTTTTAATTGATTGAGATATAGCATATTGGGCCTATATGAATTCTAGCTACTTTTAAAGCACATGTTGAGCTCTAGAAACTAATATTTAACCCTGTAAAAAGCTAAAACGTTGATACAAAAACCTGTCATTGAAATTACAAAGTAATTTGTGGAGTATGAGGTTTCTACATTGAGTAATAGCACTACCTGTTGAGACGATTTACATTGACAATTCTACACTGTCTCTTTAAGAGCATCACGTCTGTGAGTGACTATGAGCCAAGAGATGAGTCATTGAACGTTGATCTTGAACGTTGATCTTCTAAAGAAGCTATCCCTTTTCCTTTCTCTCTGTACCCCCAAAAGTAACCATGTTGTTAGCTAGCTAGCTAGCTAATGAGGTAACATGACTTAACAAGGTGTAAACAAATTCCTGTGAGTGGTTTTGGAACGACCGGCGACATGGTTTATGAACAGGCCATAAAAACTTAACTTTTTGATCCACCCGCCACTGTGGCGGCTAAATTAAAATATCTACTAGCCACTCAGAATTCGTACCAGCCAATACATATTTATAGTAACACCACCAAAAACAACAATCTGTTTTTCCAGGTTTCAGATTTCACCCAGTTTTCTTTCCCAAAATCACAAATTGGATGTTCTAAGTCCATAACTACGCTCAAACCACATCAGGAAACCACTTTTGAGGTCTGGGGAAGAAAATAAAAAAATATATATTTTGCAGGGTATAGTTGCCCTTTAATTCCATTCAAGACTGGTGTTTGGCTGGCAGTGTTTCTGTTCTGCATGCGCAATAGCAAGGTTTGCAAAACAAAATACCACCCAATTGATACAAATCATCATGATATCATATCTAACCTGTACCCATTTTTTACATTTTAGTCATTTAGCAGACACTCTTATCCAGAGCGACTTACAGTTAGTGAATACATATTTTTTTTTATACTGGCCCCCCATGGGAATCGAACCCACCCAGCACATTGACTCGGTACCGGTACCCCCTGTATCGTTATTGTTACTTTATTGTCTTACTTTTTATTTGATTTTTTTACTTTATTTGATTTAGTAAATATTATCTTAACTCTATTTCTTGAACTGCGTTGTTGGTTAAGGGCTTGTAAGTAAGCATTTCACATCGTATTCGACACATGTGACAAATCAAATTTGATTTGATATCATTATGCCAGATAGTTTGGAAAGTTTTATGGGATTAGAAATGTTTCGCTAAACTGGCTACACAAAGTGACGGACACAGGCGTTCCCATGCCATTACTTCATCAGAAATTTGCAAGAAATACAAATCACTGATGCATTCTTTAATATTCTTTACATGTAGGCTTAAGATTGAATGAATCTGCACTCGCTTTTTCCTCCTGAAACAACAGCCCAGTGAAGCCCATCATTCATTCGGGCTCCCGAGTGGCGCAGTGGTCTAAGGCACTGCATCTCAGTGCTTGAGGAGTCACTACAGACCCCCTGGTTCGATTCCAGGCTGTATCACAACCGGCCGTGATTGGGAGTCCCAAAGGGCGGCGCACAATTGCCCCAGCGTCGGCCGGGTTTGGCCGGTGTAGGCTGTCATTTTAAATAAGAATTTGTTCTTAACTGACTTGCCTAGTTAAATAAAGGAAAAAATTTAAAAAATTAAAATTCCAACTATTATCATCTGGGTGATTTATTTCCTGGTCGCACAGTGCTCCCAACATAAAAAATGTCAGGTCGCACAACAAAATACCTAGGAGCATATGGTCGCACTTTAGAGCCATGCTGATGTCCAATAAGATGACTCCTTACATGTGGGATGTGGCTGATGACCAATAAGATGACTCCTTACATGTGGGACGTGGCTGATGACCAATAAGACGACTCCTTACATGTGGGATGTGGCTGATGTCCAATCAGATGACACCATGCATGTGGACTTTAGCCCCTAGCTAGGCAACGTTCCCTAGTTGGACCAATCATCCTCAAGTTATAAAGCAATTACAGTGAGGGAAAAAAGTATTTGATCCCCTGCTGATTTTGTACGTTTGCCCACTGACAAAGAAATGATCAGTCTATAATTTTAATGGTAGGTTTATTTGAACAGTGAGAGACAGAATAACAACAACAAAATCCAGAAAAACGCATGTCAAAAATGTTATAAATTGATTTGCATTTGAATGAGGGAAATAAGTATTTGACCCCCTCTCAATCAGAAAGATTTCTGGCTCCCAGGTGTCTTTTATACAGGTAACGAGCTGAGATTAGGAGCACACTCTTAAAGGGAGTGCTCCTAATCTCAGCTTGTTACCTGTATAAAAGACACCTGTCCACAGAAGCAATCAATCAATCAGATTCCAAACTCTCCACCATGGCCAAGACCAAAGAGCTCTCCAAGGATGTCAGGGACAAGATTGTAGACCTACACAAGGCTGGAATGGGCTACAAGACCATCGCCAAGCAGCTTGGTGAGAAGGTGACAACAGTTGGTGCGATTATTCGCAAATGGAAGAAACACAAAATAACTGTCAATCTCCCTCGGCCTGGGGCTCCATGCAAGATCTCACCTCGTGGAGTTGCAATGATCATGAGAACTGCGAGGAATCAGCCCAGAACTACACGGGAGGATCTTGTCAATGATCTCAAGGCAGCTGGGACCATAGTCACCAAGAAAACAATTGGTAACACACTACGCCGTGAAGGACTGAAATCCTGCAGCCCGTCTGAAGTTTGCCAATGAACATCTGAATGATTCAGAGGAGAACTGGGTGAAAGTGTTGTGGTCAGATGAGACCAAAATGGAGCTCTTTGGCATCAACTCAACTCGCCGTGTTTGGAGGAGGAGGAATGCTGCCTATGACCCCAAGAACACCATCCCCACCGTCAAACATGAAGGTGGAAACTTTATACTCTGGGGGTGTTTTTCTGCTAAGGGGACAGGACAACTTCAACACATCAAAGGGATGATGGACGGGGCCATTTACCGTCAAATCTTGGGTGAGAACCTCCTTCCCTCAGCCAGGTCATTGAAAATGGGTCGTGGATGGGTATTCCAGCATGACAATGACCCAAAACACACGGCCAAGGCAACAAAGGAGTTGCTCAAGAAGAAGCACATTAAGGTCCTGGAGTGGCCTAGCCAGTCTCCAGACCTTAATCCCATAGAAAATCTGTGGAGGGAGCTGAAGGTTCGAGTTGCCAAACGTCAGCCTTGAAACCTTAATGACTTGGAGAAGATCTGCAAAGAGGAGTGGGACAAAATCCCTCCTGAGATGTGTGCAAATCTGGTGGCCAACTACAAGAAACGTCTGACCTCTGATTGCCAACAAGGGTTTTGCCACCAAGTACTAAGTCATGTTTTGCAGAGGGGTCAAATACTTATTTCCCTCATTAAAATGCAAATCAATTGATAACATTTTTGACATGCGCTTTTCTGGATTTTTTTGTTGTTATTCTGTCTCTCACTGTTCAAATAAACCTACCATTAAAATTATAGACTGAATATGTCTTTATCAGTGGGCAAACGTACAAAATCAGCAGGGGATCAAATACTTTTTTCCCTCACTGTACATCCTATATGGGCTTGGGTCCCCAACAGTTCAGATGGACACTCGATATCTTATCAATTTGCATTCTCTCCCTCTCTCTCTCTCTCTCTCTCTCTCTCTCCTCTCTCTCCTCTCTCTCATCCTCTCTCTCTCTCTCTCTCTCTCTCTCTCTCTCTCTCTCCTCTCTCTAGATGGTGTATACAGAGGGGAGAAGTTGATCAACCTGAAACAGATAGCAGACGAGGCTCTGGAGAAATGCAGGGAGAAGTAGGTTCTATTTACGCCTCTATCCTGGTTCTGCTTTTACAGTGGCTTGCAAAAGTATTCACCCCCCTTAGCATTTTTCCTATTTTGTTGTCTAACAAACAAGAAATAACACAAAAAAACTGAAAACTTGAGCGTGCATAACTATTCACCCCCCCCCCCCAACCCAAAGTCAATACTTTGAAGAGCCACCTTTTGCAGAAATTATAGCTGCAAGTCTCTTGGGGTATGTCTCTATAAGCTTGGCACATCTAGCCACTGGGATTTTTGCCCATTCTTCAAGGCAAAACTGCTTCAGCTCCTTCAAGTTGGATGGGTTCCGCTGGTGTACAGCAATCTTTAAGTCATACCACAGATTCTCAATTGGATTGAGGTCTGGGCTTTGACTAGGCCATTCCAAGACATTTAAATGTTTCCCCTTAAACCACTCGAGTGTTGCTTAGGGTCATTGTCCTGCTGGAAAGTGAACCTCCGCCCCAGTCTCAAATCACTGGAAGACTGAAACAGGTTTCCCTCAAGAATGTCCCTGTATTTAGTGCCATCCATCATTCCTTCAATTCTGACCAGTTTCCCAGTCCCTGCCAATGAAAAACATCCCCACAGCATGATGCTGCCACCACCATGCTTCACTGTGGGGATGGTGTTCTCGGGGTGATGAGAGGTGTTGGGTTTGCAGCAGACATAGCGTTTTCCTTGATGGACAAAAAGCTCAATTTTAGTCTCATCTGACCAGAGTACCTTCTTCCATATGTTTGGGGAGTCTCCCACATGCCTTTTGGTGAACACCAAAAGTGTTTGCTTATTTTTTTCTTTAAGCAATTGCTTTTTTGTGGCCACTCTTCCGTAAAGCCCAGCTCTGTGGAGTGTATGGCTTAAAGTGGTCCTATGGACAGATACTCCAATCTCCGCTGTGGAGCTTTGCAGCTCCTTCAGGGTTATCTTTGGTCTCTTTGTTGCCTCTCTGATTAATGCCCTCCTTGCCTGGTCCGTGAGTTTTGGTGGGCGGCCCTCTCTTGGCAGGTTTGTTGTGGTGCCATATTCTTTCCATTTTTAATAATGGATTTAATGGTGCTCCGTGGGATGTTCAAAGTTTCTGATATTGTTTTATAACCCAACCCTGATCTGTACTTCTCCATAACTTTGTCCCTGACCTGTTTGGAGAGCTCCTTGGTCTTCATGGTGCCGCTTGCTTGGTGGTGCCCCTTGCTTAGTGGTGTTGCAGACTCTGGGAAATTTCAGAACAGGTGTATATATACTGAGATCATGTGACAGATCATGTGACACTTACATTGCACACAGGTGGACTTTATTTAACTAATTACAGTTGAAGTCGTAAGTTTACATACACTTAGGTTGGAGTCATTAAAACTCGTTTTTCAACCACTCCACACATTTCTTGTTAACAAACTATAGTTTTGGCAAGTCGGTTAGGACATCTACTTTGTGCATGACACAAGTAATGTTTCCAACAATTGTTTACAGACAGAATATTTCACTCATATTTCACTGTATCACAATTCCAGTGGGTCAGAAGTTTACATACACTAAGTTGACTGTGCCTTTAAACAGCTTGGAAAATTCCAGAAAACGATGTCATGGCTTTAGAAGTTTCTAAAACATAATTTGAGTCAATTGGAGGTGTACCTGTGGATGTATTTCAAGGCCTACCTTCAAACTCAGTGCCTCTTTGCTTGACATCATGGGAAAATCAAAAGAAATCAGCCAAGACCTCAGAAAATAAATTGTAGACCTCCACAAGTCTGGTTCATCCTTGGGAGCAATTTCCAAACGCCTGAAGGTACCACATTTATCTGTACAAACAATAGTACACAAGTATAAACACCATGGGACCACGCAGCCGTCATACCGCTCAGGAAGGAGACGCGTTCTGTCTCCTAGAGATGAACGTACTTTGGTGCGAAAACTGCAAATCAATCCCAGAACAACAGCAAAGGACCTTGTGAAGGCCTTGTCTCAGGCATGACCTGAAAGGCCGCTCAGCAAGGAAGAAGCCACTGCTCCAAAACCGCCATAAAAAAGCCAGACTACGGTTTGCAACTGCACATGGGGACAAAGATCATACTTTTTGGAGAAATGTCCTCTGGTCTGATGAAACAAAAATAGAACTGTTTGACCATAATGACCATCGTTATGTTTGGAGGAAAAAGGGGAATGCTTGCAAGCCGAAGAACACCACCCCAACCGTGAAGCACGGGGGTGGCAGCATCATGCTGTGGGGTTGCTTTGCTGCAGGAGGGACTGGTGCACTTCACAAAATAGATGGCATCATGAGGAAGGAAAATTATGTGGATATATTGAAGCAACATCTCAAGACATCAGTCAGGAAGTTAAAGCTTGGTCACAAATGGGTCTTCCAAATGGGCAATGACCCCAAGCATACTTCCAAAGTTGTGGCAAAATGGCTTAAGGACAAACAAAGTCAAGGTATTGGAGTGGCCATCACAAAGCCCTGACCTCAATCCTATAGAACATTTGTGGGCAGAACTGAAAAAGCGTGTGCGAGCAAGGAGGCCTACAAACCTGACTCAGTTATACCAGCTCTGTCAGGAGGAATGGGCCAAAATTCACCCAACTTATTGTGGGAAGCTTGTGGAAGGCTACCCGAAACGTTTGACCCAAGTTAAACAATTTAAAGGCAATGCTACCAAATACTAATTGAGTGTATGTAAACTTCTGACCCACTGGGAATGTGATGAAATAAACAAAAGCTGAATTAAATCACTCTCTCTGCTATTATTCTGACATTTCACATTCTTAAAATAAAATGGTGATCCTAACTGACATAAGACAGGGAATTTTTACTAGGATTAAATGTCAGGAATTGTGAAAAACTGAGTTAAAATGTATTTGGCTAAGGTGTATGTAAACTTCCGACTTCAACTGTATGTGACTTCGGAAGGTAATTGGTTGCACCAGATTTTATTTAGGGGCTTCATAGCAAAGGCGGTAAATACATTAGCACGCACCACTTTTCTGTTATTTATTTGTTAGAATTTTTTGAAATAAGTTATTTTTTAAATTTCACTTCACCAATTTGGACTGTTTTGTATGTCCATTACATGAAATCCAAATAAAGATACATTTAAATTACAGTTTGTAATGCAACAAAATAGGAAAAACACCTAGGGGGATGAATACTTTTGCAAGACACTGTATATATGTTTGACCAGAGCCCTATTGATTGCACACAGGTGGACTTTATTTAACTAATTATGTGTCTTATGAAGGTAATTGGTTGCACCAGATCTTATTTAGGGGCTCCATAGCAAGGGGGATGAATACTGCGGGGAAAGGAAGGGAAAGAAGAAGGAAGAAGGGCGAGAGAGAGAGAACCAGAGAAGCGAGAGAGAGAGATGAGAGAAGAGAGAGGATCGCGAGAGAAGGGGGGGGAAGGGGGCGAGGGGCGCGAGAGGCAGCGGGGAGAGTAGAAGAGATGGAGATCGAGGGACGCGCGAGAGGGGAGAGAGAGAGAGAGCGCGGCGAGAGAGAGGAGAGAGAGGTGTTAGAGGCGAGGAGGGAGAGAGAGAGGGGATGGAGAGGACGAGAGATATGGGAGAGAGAGAGAGGGGAGTGGGAAGAGGTAGAGGCGGGAGCAGGGAGAAGAGGGGAGAGAGAGAAGAGAAAAGAAAAGAAGCGAGAGACGAAGGAGAAGCGAGAGAGAGAGAGAGAGAGAGAGAGAGAGAAGACGGGGGAGGAATGAGAAGTTAGCTGTTTTGGTGGGAGCGGAGTAGGAGGGGGAGGAGGAGGGGGGGAGAGAGAGAGAGCAAGAGACGAGAGAGGGAGAGAGAGAGAGTAGTATGAGTAGACGCACAGGATAGCACAGCTCTAAGCACGCCAAGGGTTGACGAGAATAGAGAGACAGAGGGAGGTAGAGAGAGGGTAGGAGACGAGAGAGAGAGGGACCTGTAACGAGAGAGCCGAGAGCAGAGGCGCAGAAGCAAAGAGAGACCCGAAGCAGAGAGGTGGAGAGGGAGAGCGAGGACGAGAGACCCCGAGGACTGACGAGACAGAGCCGAGGAGAGAGACCAGACGAGGGAGAAGAGAAGATGAAGAGAGGGAGGAGGAGGGAGAGAGAGAGGGGAGAGAGAGCGAGGAGGCAAGAAGATAGAGAGAGAGAAGAGAGAGAGAGAGAGAGAAGAGAGAGAGAGGTGCTGGAGAGAGAGATGGAGACGAGAGAGAGGGAGAGCAAGAGAGGAGAGAGAGAAGCGAAGAGGGAGAAGTAGAGAGGGAGAGAACAGCAGCGGGAGAGAGAGAGAGAGAGGGAGCGCGAGAGAGAGAGGGAGAGGAGAGAGCTAGAGAGATAGAGAGAGAGAGGGGCGAGGGAGAAGGGAGATCGCGGAGCGGGGGAGTATAGAGAGAGAGCAGAGAGAGCGAGGGAAGCAGAGCGAGGGTAGAGAGATAGAGCACGACCTACCTCCATCTAGCAGAGAGGGTAGCGCTAGATCATCTCTATCTCTAGCGATCAGCTCTATCGATCTCTCCTCTCTCTCTATAGCTATCTCGCTCTCGCGCTTCTCTCTCTCTCTCTCTATCTTTGATTATAAGGGAAGTCTCCATCTGTCTGTTGCCCCTAGAGATCTCAATCTGTCGCCGTAGTGATTATGTGTGAAACGACACTTGTATGTCTATCGCAGCCAGAAGACATATGACAGCATATAAGCACCGTATTGAGGCTCCTCTACTATGTAGAAATATACACTGAGTGTACGAAACATTATGAACACCCGCTACTGTATTCTGACTGAGTCATGGTCCTGCTGTATTTCCTGGAGTTGTACTTTACTGTTATTCTGAACTGAGTCATGGTCCTGCGTATTTCCTGGTGGTACTTCTTAATGTATTCTGGACTGAGTCAATGGTCATGCGTATCTTCTGGGGGTACTTCTATGTATTGACTGACCCGTCATGGCCTGCTGTATTTCCTGGTGTACTTCTACTGTATTCTGACTAAGTCATGGTCCTGCTGTATTTCCTGGTGTACTTCTACTGTATTCTGACTAAGTCATGGTCCTGCTGTATTTCCTGGTGTACTTCTACTGTATTCTGACTGAAGTCATGGTCCTGCTGTATTTCCTGGTGTACTTCTACTGTATTCTGACTAAGTCATGGTCCTGCTGTATTTCCTGGTGTACATCTACTGTATTCTGACTAAGTCATGGTCCTGCTGTATTTCCTGGTGTCCAGACCCCGTGGAATCCTGTGTGTGACGTCTGTTGGGAGGAGGTTATGGGACAGGTCTCTGAGCAGTGTGAACCTGAGTGGCTGGATGCAGAGGATCCTCTCTTTATACTGTATACCAGCGGATCTACTGGCAAACCAAAGGTAGGACACTCTCTCTCTCACACACACACACACACACTGTCACACACTCAGTCACACTCACTCACACACACACACACACACACACACGCACACACACACACACACACTGTCACACACTCAGTCACACTCACTCACACACACACACACTCACACACACACACACACACACACACATACTCGAGTGATAATGTGTGTGTGTGCATGTTCCTGTGTGCGCTTGCGTGTGTGCGTTCGTAAATGTGTGTGTGTGTGTGTGTGTGTGTGTGTGTGTGTATATATTAGCCCTGTGTTAACCCTGTATCTGCCTTCCCTGCAGGGTGTCCTTCACACGGTGGCAGTCTACCTGCTTTACACCTCTCTGACCTTCAAGGACGTGTTTGACCACCAGCCAGACGATGTGTACTGGTGTACCGCTGATATAGGATGGATCACTGGACACTCATACATCACCTATGGACCCCTGGCCAACGGGGTGACCAGCGTACTGGTGAGTAGAACAAACAAAATAACGTGCCTTGCCTGAGAAATGTAAGCCCAATTTGTTGCCCTCAGACAGACCACAATGATTTCCTCTTGGTCTGACGGTTAAGACGTTGGGTTGGTGCGTGGGAATCCTCTTGGTCTGACGGTTAAGACGTTGGGTTGGCGCGTGGGAATCCTCTTGGTCTGACGGTTAAGACGTTGGGTTGGCGCGTGGGAATCCTCTTGGTCTGACGGTTAAGACGTTGGGTTGGCGCGTGGGAATCCTCTTGGTCTGACGGTTAAGACGTTGGGTTGGTGCGTGGGAATCCTCTTGGTCTGACGGTTAAGACGTTGGGTTGGCGCGTGGGAATCCTCTTGGTCTGACGGTTAAGACGTTGTGTTGGCGCGTGGGAATCCTCTTGGTCTGACGGTTAAGACGTTGGGTTGGTGCGTGGGATTCCTCTTGGTCTGACGGTTAAGACGTTGGGTTGGTGCGTGGGATTCCTCTTGGTCTGACGGTTAAGACGTTGGGTTGGTGCGTGGGATTCCTCTTGGTCTGACGGTTAAGACGTTGGGTTGGTGCGTGGGAATCCTCTTGGTCTGACGGTTAAGACGTTGGGTTGGTGCGTGGGAATCTGACGGTTAAGACGTTGGGTTGGCGCGTGGGAATCCTCTTGGTCTGACGGTTAAGACGTTGGGTTGGCGCGTGGGAATCCTCTTGGTCTGACGGTTAAGACGTTGGGTTGGCGCGTGGGAATCCTCTTGGTCTGACGGTTAAGACGTTGGGTTGGCGCGTGGGAATCCTCTTGGTCTGACGGTTAAGACGTTGTGTTGGCGCGTGGGAATCCTCTTGGTCTGACGGTTAAGACGTTGGGTTGGTGCGTGGGATTCCTCTTGGTCTGACGGTTAAGACGTTGGGTTGGTGCGTGGGATTCCTCTTCGGTTAAGACGTTGGGTTGGTGCGTGGGATTCCTCTTGTCTGACGGTTAAGACGTTGGGTTGGTGCGTGGGAATCCTCTTGGTCTGACGGTTAAGACGTTGGGTTGGTGCGTGGGAATCTGACGGTTAAGACGTTGGGTTGGCGCGTGGGAATCCTCTTGGTCTGACGGTTAAGACGTTGGGTTGGCGCGTGGGAATCCTCTTGGTCTGACGGTTAAGAGGTTGGGTTGGCGCGTGGGAATCCTCTTGGTCTGACGGTTAAGACGTTTGGGTTGGCGCGTGGGAATCCTCTTGGTCTGACGGTTAAGACGTTGGGTTGGTGCGTGGGAATCCTCTTGGTCTGACGGTTAAGACGTTGGGTTGGCGCGTGGGAATCCTCTTGGTCTGACGGTTAAGACGTTGGGTTGGCGCGTGGGATTCCTCTTGGTCTGACGGTTAAGACGTTGGGTTGGTGCGTGGGAATCCTCTTGGTCTGACGGTTAAGACGTTGGGTTGGCGCGAGGGAATCGTCTTGGTCTGACAGTTAAGACATTGGGTTGGTGCGTGGGAATCCTCTTGGTCTGACGGTTAAGACGTTGGGTTGGCGCGTGGGAATCCTCTTGGTCTGACGGTTAAGACGTTGGGTTGGCGCGTGGGAATCCTCTTGGTCTGACGGTTAAGACGTTGGGTTGGCGCGTGGGATGCCTCTTGGTCTGACGGTTAAGACGTTGGGTTGGCGCGTGGGAATCCTCTTGGTCTGAGGGTTAAGACGTTGGGTTGGTGCGTGGGATTCCTCTTGGTCTGACGGTTAAGACGTTGGGTTGGTGCGTGGGAATCCTCTTGGTCTGACGGTTAAGACGTTGGGTTGGCGCGTGGGAATCCTCTTGGTCTGACGGTTAAGACGTTGGGTTGGTGCGTGGGAATCCTCTTGGTCTGACGGTTAAGACGTTGGGTTGGCGCGTGGGAATCTCTTGGTCGACGGTTAAGACGTTGGGTTGGCGCGTGGGAATCCTCTTGGTCTGACGGTTAAGACGTTGGGTTGGCGCGTGGGAATCCTCTTGGTCTGACGGTTAAGACGTTGGGTTGGTGCGTGGGAATCCTCTTGGTCTGACGGTTAAGACGTTGGGTTGGCGCGTGGGAATCCTCTTGGTCTGACGGTTAAGACGTTGGGTTGGCTGCGTGGGAATCCTCTTGGTCTGACGGTTAAGACGTTGGGTTGGTGCGTGGGAATCCTCTTGGTCTGACGGTTTAAGACGTTGGGTTGGTGCGTGGGAATCCTCTTGGTCTGACGGTTAAGACGTTGGGTTGGTGCGTGGGAATCCTCTTGGGTCTGACGGTTAGACGTTGGGTTGGGCGTGGATTCCTCTTGGTCTGACGGTTAAGACGTTGGGTTGGTGCATGGGAATCCTCTTGGTCTGACGGTTAAGACGTTGGGTTGGCGCGTGGGAATCCTCTTGGTCTGACGGTTAAGACGTTGGGTTGGCACGTGGGAATCCTCTTGGTCTGACGGTTAAGACGTTGGGTTGGTTACCACCAGTTAGTTTCATACCCTGTAATACTACCACTTTCTTTTTTATATATTGCCTGACTGAACCAACGGTGTGTGTGTGTGTGTGTGTGTGTGTGTGTGTGTGTGTGTGTGTGTGTGTGTGTGTGTGTGTGTGTTCTCCAGTTTGAGGCTATTCCAGTCCACCCTCACGTGGGGCGTTTCTGGGAGGTGATTGAGAAGTACAGAGTGACCAAGTTCTACACAGCTCCCACAGCCATACGCCTTCTCATGAAGTACGGGGAAGATCCAGTACAGAAGGAAGACACAGTGTAAGGCCGGGATTCAATCCAATCTGACCTTTTTTTTGGCTATGCATCTTTTTAAAGGCAATGTTTCCACGTTTCGCAGAGACGCCGCACATACACGATAAACGATATGTCTGCTCAATAGAAAATGACCTTTTATTTAAATGTCAAGCGAACTATTACGTGGATCTACCACGGATCAGATTTAATCCTTTAATCTTTGCATCATAAGAAGTACACTGATCTGAGCTGTAGCGCTGTGGCTATAATAACGCAGTGTCATTCTGTCCACTAGCGCCATCTGTTGGACGAAAAGAGAGAACCAACACTCAGTGAACCAAACCAGATCAGCACTTCTTTACTCGTTCACCCTGTAACTTCCTGCAGGTACGACCTTTCATCGCTGAGGATTCTGGGTACTGTAGGTGAGCCCATCAACCTGGAGGCGTGGCATTGGTACCACGAGGTGGTTGGTCAGAAGAGATGCCCCGTGGTGGACACCTTCTGGCAGACAGACGGTGAGCGCTGACTGGTGGTCTGTTTTGAAATGGTCCTTTTAATCTTTCATTGTTTTCCATTACATCTATTTGACTGAAAATAAGTTAGAAAATACAGTTAAATTAAAATATTGATTTTAATACATTTGAAAAATATACTGACCAAAAATATAAATGCAACATGCAACAATTTCAAAGATTTTACTGAGCTACAGTTCGTATAAGGAAGTCAGTCAGTTGAAATTAATGAATTAAGCCCAAATCTATGGATTTCACATGACTGGGAATACATCTGTTGGTCACAGATACAGTACCTTTAAAAAAACAGTAGGGGCGTGGATCAGAAAACCAGTCAGTATCTGGTGTGACCACCATTTTCCTCATGCAGAGCGACACATAACCCCACCGCCACCATAGGGCAGCGTTCACAACGTTGACATCAGCAAACCGCTCACCCACACAATGCCAAATATACATGGTCTGCGGTTGTGAGGCCGGTTGGACGTACTGCCAAATTCTCTAAAACGACGTTGGAGGCGGCTTACGGTAGAGAAATTAACATTCAATTCTCAACAGCAACAGCTCAGTTGGACATTCCTGCAGTCAGCATGCCAATTGCACGCTCCCTCAAATCTGGAGACATCTGTGGCATTGTGTTGTGTGAAAAAACGGTACATTTTAGAATGGCCTGTTATTGTCCCCAGCACAAGGTGCAACTGTGTAATGTTCAACGCTGTTATATCAGCCTCTTGATAAGCCACACCTGTCAGGTGGATGGATTATCTTGGCAAAGGACAAAATGTTCACGAACAGGGATGTAAACAAATTTGTGCACAACATTTGAGAGAAATAAGCTTTTTTTGTACGTATGGAACATTTCTGGGATCTTTTATTTCAGCATGTTGCGTTTTATATTTTTGTTCAGTGTTTAATGACTTGTGTTCTTGCATAGGGTGGCCATGTTTTAACTCCATTACCTGCTGCTACACCTCTGAAACCAGGATCAGCTGTAAGTTACAATCATATACACAGTGTACAAAACATATTGAGTTGAACCCCCCCCCTTGCCCCCAGTACAGCCTCAATTCATCGGGGCATGGACTCTACAAGGTGTCGAAAGCGTTCCACAGGGATGCTGGCTCCATGTCGACTCCAATGCTTCTCACAGTTGTGTCAAGTTGGCTGGATGTCCTTTGGGTGGTGGACCATTCTTGATACACACGGGAAACTGTTGAGCGTGAAAAACCCAGCAGCGTTTGTGAGAGGTGTTGACATGCTGAATGCACCGAGCTGTCTGTTTGAACTACTGGCACACAGCTCAGACACCCATACATCCAAGATGGCAGCATGTCAAGTCGTTTGTCAAGTCGTTTGTTTGTGACTAGTACATTTTAACCTACTAATAATCTATTTATTTATGGTTGCGTAACTTCGTTGTTGCGTAGTGCAAACTATTTTATTTTTGCTGGTGTAAAGATCACGGGTCCTCCTCAACTCGGAACTTCATTACTTGAAGTTTACCAAAGTAACCCTATCTCTGGCTGGCCTGAGTTCCTCGTTAGTCCGCGGAGTGTCTTGTCCGAGCTGCTCCTTGCTCTTCGCCTGGCTGTCAGTGGCAGCTCAACCCGTTACCCAATCTACTCACACGCGCAAACACTCACATTGACTCACATACACGCTGTCCCTCTCTCCACTTACCTTCGTTGGCCTCTTGTTTTTTGGTCAGAGAAAATGACAATTTACGTGGTATTGCTTTGTGCACTGACTTTATTGAACCCACTTGTCGCAGGGTGAGTACATCTGACAATGTACTCTCGCGTCCATTAGACATTTTGTCTGCAGGAACTCGCTCTTTTTCACTCGGTCCACTCGTCCAAGTGCCGATGCATTTGTGGCATGATGTGAACAGTACGAATTTGTGTCACTACCAAAGTCTAATGGTTTTTAAATGACTGTTTTGTATTGTCTGGAAACTCACTTGTAGAATTCGCTTGCAGTAGGTCTCTTAAAAAAGAGAAGCCGTGCAAGGTTATTAAACAGAGGTGCCTAGTTATTCTTCTGTTGTTGATATCAGGTAACGTGCAACCTAACCCTGGCCCTGATATGCAATGTCTCCAAACCCCCTCTGATTTTAAATCAAGATCTGGTTTTGGTATTTTTCATTTAAATGTACGCAGCCTGTTGTCAAAAATTGATGGGGTTAGGATTTGGGCTAAATCAACTGATGCTGATGTAATTGTGTTTTCGGAAACCTGGCTCAGCAAGTCTATTTTTGATAAGGATATTTGTATAAGTGGTTACAATGTTTATCGTGCAGATCGGGTTAAGAAAGGTGGGGGTGTGGCTATATATGTAAAATCTAAATTCCATGTAAGTGTGGCAAAGTCTGAAACTATTTGTAAACAGTTGGAATTTCTTGCTTTGAATATTGAGGTTTCAAAGGGCCTCTCTATAACTGTGATTGGCTGTTATAGACCCCCCTCTGCTCTTGGTGATGCATTTTCTTCTTTGACGCACCTTATGTCTAAACTTCTTTACAGTGAAATGATCTTGATTGGTGATCTCAACTGGTGTTGGTTTAAAGCCGGTGTCTGATTTAAAAATGTTTTGTAATTCTATGAATCTTACCCAGTTGATTAATTCACCCACTCGCCCAAATCTTAAATGCCCTGATAAATCTACCCTGATTGATTTGATATTGACAAATGTTCCACATAAATATTCTGCGGTTGGTGTTTTTTGTAATGATTTAAGTGACCATTGTGCTGTTGTTGCTGTTAGAAATACTAAGGTTCCAAAGACAAATCCACGTTTTATTCGTAAGAGAAATTTGAAGTGTTTTAATGAGCAGGCTTTCTTTCATGATTTGTTTTATTTTGACTGGAGCAAGATTGAGCTTATCCCTGATGTGGAAACTGCCTGGATATTCTTTCATGATGGTTTTTTCCAAATAGTAAACAAACATGCACCATTCCGCAGGTTCAGGGTTAAAGGGCGGGATAATCCATGGTTTTCTTCTGAGCTGTCTTGTATTATTCACGACCGTAATCTAGCCTGGGCTAAAGCAAGGAAATCTTGTTCTGATGCTGATTGGCTTATTTTTAGGCAGTTAAGAAACAAGTGTTCTTTTCTTCTCAGGAAGGCCAAGTCTGAATATTTTATGTCTGTTACCACTGATAACCTGAATGACCCTAGAAAGTTTTGGAATGCTATTAAGTCTATGTCTGGTAACAGTAATGTTAATGAATTACCGTCATGTGTTTTGAAGGACTCTGTTGCTATATATGACAAAACTGAAATGCTGAATTGTTTCAATGAGCACTTTGTATCATCTGGTAGGCTGTTTGATTCAGTGTCCTCTGTCTCTGTACAACCCTGTGTGGATGAACCAGTGTCCTCTGTCTCTGTACAACCCTGTGTGGATGAACCAGTGAGAGCTGGTCAAACTTTTAGTTTTTCTGCCATTCTCAGTGCAGGTGGTACATAAAGCCCTGAAATCCTTAGATCAAAGAAAGCCTGCAGGTCCTGATCTTTTGGATCCCTGCTTTTTGAATCTGGCAGCTGATTTCATAGCTGAACCACTTACATATCTGTTCAATCTAACCCTGGAATGTAATGAAATTCCAAAGATCTGGAAATCAGCATTTGTCCTACCACTTTTAAAAGGGGGAGATCCAACTCTTTTAAATAATTATAGGCCAATCTCAAAGCTGTCACCCCTGGTGAAAATACTTGAAACCCTTGTAAGTGAACAGCTAAAAGAGTTTTTATTTACTAACTCTATTTTATCAATGTATCAATCAGGCTTCAGGAAGAAGCATAGCACAATTACAGCAGCCATGAAGGTTTTAAATGATATCACTGAAGCCCTTGACAAAAAACAGCACTGTGTCTCACTTTTTATTGATCTCTCTAAGGCTTTTGATACAGTTGATCATGCTATACTAGGGCAGAGATTGTTGAGTGTAGGTCTTTCGGAGCATGCAGTTGCATGGTTTGCTAACTATCTGTCTGATAGAACTCAGTGCACTCAATTTGATGGGCTTATGTCTGTTAAATTGTCTGTCCTGAATGGTGTGCCCCAGGGCTCTGTACTTGGTCCTCTCTTATTCACTATTTATATTAATGATTTAGACAAAAATGTCCAAAATGCACAACTTCATTTTATGCTGATGATACTGTTATTTACTGTTGTGCCTCATCTCTTACAAAAGCTTTCCAGAACTTGCAAACTGCTTTTTTATACTGTTCAACATACCTTGTGTCAATTGAAGCTTATCCTCAATACTGACAAAACTAAACTAATGGTGTTTTCTAATGCAAGAAATAGACCTCTGAACCTTTCACCTGTTACTACCTGTCAGGGCAAGGAGATTGAGGTTGTAACCTCATATAAATATCTTGGAATTCTAATTGATGACGGCCTCTCTTTTAAATTGCATATTCAACAACTTACAAAAAAATTGAAGCTGAAATTGGGATTTTATTTTAGGAATAAGGCCTGTTTTTCTTTTGAAGCCAGAAGGAGGCTAGTATCAGCTACATTTATGCCTTTACTAGACTATGGGGATATTTTATATATGAATGCTTCCGCTCAGTGTTTGAGATCAATTGACACTCTTTATCATGGTACTTTGAGATTTATTTTAAACTGCAAAACCCTTACGCACCACTGTACTTTGTATACCAGGGTTGGCTGGCCTTCTCTAGTCACTCGTAGGCTCAGTCACTGGTATACTTTTATTTACAAAGCCATTTTGGGTTTACTACCTTTTTATTTGGGCATTTTTATTGTTCAGAAATGTGGTGGGTACTCTCTTCGTTCACTGGACTTTATCCTGCTAACTGTTCCAAATGTCCGAACTGAATTTGGTAAAAGGTCTTTTATGTACTCTGCGCCATCGTCTTGGAACACCTTACAAAATAATTTTAAACTGGAAGAACTTGTCCCGATTGGTGTTTTTAAATCTCTGATGAAGGATTTTGAGGCTGATTCCCTGACCTGTCAATGTCTTTAATTTGCTGTTTTTGATATTGTTATACTCTTGTGAATTCATGAATGGTTTTTTACTAGATTACTTGTAGTTTTTCATGTTGTCTGTCTGTAATTTTTTGTAATGACTTGGTGCTGCCTATCTTGGCCAGGACGCTCTTGAAAAAGAGATTTTAAATCTCAATGAGCCCTTCCTGGTTAAATAAAGGTTAAATAAAAAAATAAAATACCCCACAAGACATGCCACCAGAGGTCTCTTCACAGTCCCCAAGTCCAGAACAGACTATGGGAGGCGCACAGTACTACATAGAGCCATGACTACATGGAACTCTATTCCACATCAGGTAACTGATGCAAGCAGTAAAATCAGATTTTAAAAACAGATAAAAAAAACACCTTATGGAACAGCGGGCACTGTGAAGCAACACAAACATAGACACAGACACATGCATACACACACACACACACACACACACACGTACACATGGATTTTGTGTTGTAGATATGTGGTAGTGGTGGAGTAGGGGCCTCAGGGCACACAGTGTGTTGTGAAATCATTTTGCCGGACCCCAGGAAGGGTAGCAGCTGCCTTGGGGATCCATAATAAATACAAAATACAAAATACTAGCATAGTCATGTGCCAGTGTAATATTTCCCCATATACCTGTGATTGGCTCCTCACTCCTTGTGTGAGGTATACTATAGGCGTAGACTTCAGTGTAATCTGGAATGAATCTGTCTCGTTATTGAAGAGCTTATAGCAGGGGTAGTTCCTCAGTGTAATCTGGAATGAATCTGTCTCGTTATTGAAGAGCTTATAGCAGGGGTAGTTCCTCAGTGTAATCTGGAATGAATCTGTCTCGTTATTGAAGAGCTTATAACTGAGCTGATAGATCAGGTTCAGTGATTGCCTAAATTCAACACGCTTGGTCTTCCAGGTCGGTTTAAATGAAAAACACGACGTTTTCTGAAGTACTCCGGGACCAGCGTTGACAACCCCTGACTTATAGCATCTAATGAACCTGTGTTTGAATCATCTAGATTTAACGCTATAGATTCAGTTAACCCCAGGGTTCTCAGCTGGTGATTGTGATCTGGAAAAATGAGTTCTATACCAGCAGCCTGAAGTCTGTTATTGAAAAGCTTCATGAAAATCTCCCATTGTGTACAAAAAAATAAATAAAAAATAAGATCTATCCATCAGATCTATCTGTCTGTCTGATGTTCCAGACGTTTCCTTTCTTTGGCGTGGAGAGGAACTGGAGGGAGAGGCAGAGGGCTATCTGGTCAGTACAACACACAGTCTATGGTACAATGACTTCAAGTATTATTATTATTATTTTGTCATTTAGCAGACGCTCTTATCCAGAGCAACTTACATGAGCAAGTAGGGTTAAGTGCCTTGCTCAAGGGCACAGATTTTTCACCTAGTCGGCTCGGGGATTAGAACCAGCGACCTTTCGGTTACTGGCACAACGCTCTTAACCACTAAGCTACCTGCCGCCCTACAGTGTAATGCATTTGAGATGTTTTTTTTTTAAATTCTCACTCACTATCCTTATAATATGGGTTTCATATAGGGTTATTACCGTAATATTTCTAAACTAAGAGCCATGGTCTGTAATGTTGTTGGTAGGGTTATTACCGTAATATTTCTAAACTAAGAGCCATGGTCTGTAATGTTGTTGGTAGGGTTATTACCGTAATATTTGTAAACTAAGAGCCATGGTCTGTAATGTTGTTGGTAGGGTTATTACCGTAATATTTGTAAACTAAGAGCCATGGTCTGTAATGTTGTTGGTAGGGTTATTACCGTAATATTTGTAAACTAAGAGCCATGGTCTGTAATGTTGTTGGTAGGGTTATTACCGTAATATTTGTAAACTAAGAGCCATGGTCTGTAATGTTGTTGGTAGGGTTATTACCGTAATATTTGTAAACTAAGAGCCATGGTCTGTAATGTTGTTGGTAGGGTTATTACCGTAATATTTCTAAACTAAGAGCCATGGTCTGTAATGTTGTTGGTAGGGTTATTACCGTAATATTTGTAAACTAAGAGCCATGGTCTGTAATGTTGTTGGTAGGGTTATTACCGTAATATTTCTAAACTAAGAGCCATGGTCTGTAATGTTGTTGGTAGGGTTATTACCGTAATATTTCTAAACTAAGAGCCATGGTCTGTAATGTTGTTGGTAGGTGTTTCATTATGTACTGGTTGGGTTATTACCGTAATATTTGTAAACTAAGAGCCATGGTCTGTAATGTTGTTGGTAGGGTTATTACCGTAATATTTCTAAACTAAGAGCCATGGTCTGTAATGTTGTTGGTAGGGTTATTACCGTAATATTTCTAAACTAAGAACCATGGTCTGTAATGTTGTTGGTAGGGGTTCCGTCGGCCCTGGCCTGGTATCATGCGTACCGTGTACGGAAACCAAGAGCGGTTTGAGAACACATACTTCAAGAAATTCCCAGGCTTCTATGTGACCGGGGATGGTAAAACATATCAAGACTTTTCATTACAAACAGCACCTTGCATTCTTTGATTGATTAGATTGGATTCATCGTATTAATTGACGATCACAATCACAATGTAATGGTGACATCGCTGTTAACGTGGCACTGTTGTTTTCTTTAAAAGGTTTAATAAAATGAAATTCATGAATTCATTCCTTTCTTTCCCAGGCTGCAGGAGAGATAAAGATGGCTACTACTGGATCGCAGGCAGGATAGACGACATGATCAACGTATCAGGTCATATGTTTTCCCATAGTTTGGCCAATGTGCTGCTGCTGGCTTCATTTGCGGGTCAAAGCCAGGTTATTGTGAAGCACTCTGTGATACATTTTGCTGTCAAAACAGGCGATGGATGGATGGATGGATGGATGGATGGATGGATGGATGGATGATAACCCATAGTGTTGTCTTCCCTACAGGCCACCTGATGATGATGATGAGTGGGAACCCATAGTGTTGATAACCTTGTCTCCCTCCAGGTCACCTGTTGAGTACAGCGGAGGTAGAGTCATCTCTAACAGAGCATGGAGCGGTGGCCGAGGCTGCAGTGGTCAGCAGACCCCACGCGGTCAAGGGGGAGTGTCTCTACTGTTTCGTTACTCTGAAGGACTGCAGAGAGTTCAACCGCACACTGGTGGAGGAACTCAAGCGACAAGGTGTTTGACCAATTTATAGACAAGTCTATCTATTACAGGCTTAACAAGATTACAGGTTACCCCTTGTAGAACGAACACAAGATTACGGCATTTGGCTACACAAGACTATTATTGCACTGAATATGAGATATTTATACAGTACTACAACATGAGTTTTCTGTTGGTACTTGATTTAACACAACAACAAAACATGTCTTATGTCTTGTTAGTGAGGGAGAAGACAGGTCCGATCGCCACACCAGACTTCATCCAGAACGCTCCTGGACTTCCTAAAACACGATCTGGTAAGTGTTACCCCATTCCTGATTTTACCACATTTTAAATTAATTTTGTATACTTTTATGGACATTTTGTCTTTACATTTGTATTTATTATTTTCGTTTTTATTTAACAAAATATGTCATCATCAGGTAAAGATCATGCGGCGGGTCCTGAGGCAGATCGCCCGGAACGAGAAGGATCTAGGTGACCTTTCAACTATGGCTGACCCCAAGGTCGTGGAGGTCCTGTTCAGCCAGCGCTGTCAAACGGCCGCCTGAGGGGCTGCATGCCAATACTCTAGAGCGGCTTCCTCTCCCCAACACCTCATCTCCTCTCCTTCATCTACATCTGATCTGAAGCCCATTCCGCCACCAACTTTTTTAATTTTTTTAATTTCGAGATGCTAAGGCATTTATTTATTTTTTTATAGTAGAACATGTAGGATATGTTTCTTAATTCGCAGCTGATTTATTTCCATCTGTCCACGTTGCAGAGGTCAGAACAGCAGGGGGAGCTGGCGTACGCCCCAGCACTTTTTCAATTCGGTTGAATAAAAAAAGTATTGACACAAAAGCATTGAAAAGTACCGTTGTTTAGACTGATTTGCCTTAGGATTTGTCAACTCGCGCTTCAGTCTGATCAACTGTAGCCTTCTGATAACAACCACAGCTGCAGGTGGCCTAGAGAAGCCTATTCGCTCTGGCCCCCTCTGGCCCCCTCTGGCCCCCTCCCTCTGACCCCCTCTGGCCCGCTCTGACCCCCTCTGGCCCCCTCTGGCCCCCTCTGACCCCCTCTGGCCCCTCTGACCCCCTCTGGCCCCCTCTGACCCCCTCTGGCCCCCTCTGACCCCCTCTGGCCCCCTCTGGCCCCCTCTGACCCCCTCTGGCCCCCGCTGGCCCCCGCTGGCCCCCTCTGACCCCCTCTGGCCCCCTCTGGCCCCCTCTGACCCCCTCTGGCCCCCTCTGGCCCCCTCCCTCTGGCCCCCTCTGGCCCCCTCTGGCCCCCGCTGGCCCCCGCTGGCCCCCTCTGGCCCCCTCTGACCCCCTCTGGCCCCCTCTGGCCCCCTCTGACCCCCTCTGGCCCCCTCTGGCCCCCTCCCTCTGGCCCCCTCTGACCCCCTCTGGCCCCCTCTGACCCCCTCTGGCCCCCTCTGGCCCCCTCTGGCCAGGGGAAACCGAGCGGTAGTGTTGTGTAGTCATAGCGCACAATAGGCCCATTTATTTGTGTTAAGAGAAAATGTGAACGTGATCGAAATTTGATTTTCTATTCAAACTTCGGGTGTCTTGGCTACCTAGACCTTATCAATCCAAAATGGTTGACGGAAATTAATTAATCAACACAATAGTGATGACACACTGTGTGAGGCACTTTTTAATTTACGGATGCAAAGGCCTTCATGATGCAACCCCTGCATACAGCCCTGCATACAGCCCTGCATACACCCCTGCATACTGCCCTGCATACTGCCCTACATACACCCCTGCATACACCCCTGCATACTGCCCTGCATACAGCCCTGCATACAGCCCTGCATACTGCCCTGCATACTGCCCTGCATACAGCCCTACATACACCCCTGCATACAGCCCTGCATACACCCCTGCATACTGCCCTGCATACTGCCCTGCATACTGCCCTGCATACTGCCCTGCATACAGCCCTGCATACAGCCCTGCATACTGCCCTGCATACACCCCTGCATACACCCCTGCATACTGCCCTGCATACACCCCTGCATACTGCCCTGCATACAGCCCTGCATACACCCCTGCATACTGCCCTGCATACTGCCCTGCATACTGCCCTGCATACAGCCCTGCATACAGCCCTACATACAGCCCTGCATACAGCCCTGCATACAGCCCTGCATACTGCCCTGCATACTGCCCTGCATACAGCCCTGCATACTGCCCTGCATACAGCTAGCTCCATCACCATGGACCTGATTAGAAAAAAAATCTGGTCCCATCACAGCCCATATAAAACCGTTTTACAGCTGATTCTATTACTATGTCATACCCTACAACTAGGGTCCGGAGTTTTACCTGGGTCATACCCTACAACTAGGGTCCGGAGTTTTACCTGGGTCATACCCTACAACTAGGGTCCGGAGTTTTACCTGGGTCATACCCTACAACTAGGGTCCGGAGTTTTACCTGGGTCATACCCTACAACTAGGGTCCGGAGTTTTACCTGGGTCATACCCTACAACTAGGGTCCGGAGTTTTACCTGGTTAGGTTAGCCTACCAGATCAGGAAAAACTCTGGGCCCCAGGAAAACACATCTGAAATCACCCCCACAATGTTACAGATGAAGAAGCATGTTTATATAAGTATGCTCTACTATCTCAACATTTTTTTAGATAGTATCTCGACATTAAAAATACATGTGGTGGCGGGAATGGGCTTCCACAGAAAACACAGCATAGGTGAAACAAAATATAGAACGGGCATCATGGCGGATGGGGTATTTTTTTTCTCTCTCACTTATTCAGCGTCATTCTATGAAGGAGAGGAGGTGAGGTGAGGTGAGGTGAGGTGAGGAAGTGAGGAGGTGAGGACGCTATGTTAAACTATTGAGACACACCCAGAGTCCCCTTCTAGTCCCTTCTGATGGTGCAGATTAATTCAGAGTCCCTAAGCACTGATCCTGGATCAGTCTTAAGTTATTTTATGTGCACTGTTTGGGGATGGGATTAGCGTTGGAGGACAGATCCTAGATCAGATCTTATGGGAACTACGGACTTTGATTTCGTCCATGTAGGGGAAGACATTAGCAAACAGTCAATTCAAATGACAATCCCGAGGCTCAAACAATGAATTCAGTTTATTTGAACCCTTTTCTAAACGGGTCAAAAGGACATGAAACAATCCATATTACAAATGATTATTTATGCCACAATATTATTATTAATAATGGGTGGGTCAATATTGAGGTAAACTGGATACAGTATCAGAATATTTCCCTTGTTTCCTGGTCAGCATCCTGACCTCTGGAACATTCTCTCAGTGTTCTGATTGATCAGCTTCTGCTTCCATCTTGCTTTTCACATGCTCCTCAGATGATTCTATATATATATTTTATTTATTGATCTGTAAAGTCTAAATAATGGAAAGCTAGTTTCACCTTTTTAAAGCTATGATAACTATTCCCAGGGAGACCAGTCAGCTTTGCACAGTTCTTCCACAACATGGCTTGTATTTGTTTGGACGTCGATGTATAATTCAACTTGAGATTTTATGACTTGAGAATAAAAGTGTTAAATGTATTTGGTTGTTTTGAATTTATTCACATTTTTTGTTGAAATTACAATTTTTTCTAACAATACTTGAAGAGGACAGAAAGTAGGAACTCAAAGCCTCAGACGCCCTCTTGTGGTGAAGTTAAAGTAATGCTCTGCAGAAAATCACCCTCTAGTGATATCAGATAGGAGCTGTGCTTTACTGTAAAAGCCTCTATCATACAGCCAAGGCTTCTCCCTGTTGCTGTTTGTGTTTCAGATCTTGGGAGACCTGATCCATCTAGTAGAGCTTAGAGAGGGAGATGGAGATGAGAGAGAGAGAGAGAGGGAGATGAGAGAGGGAGATGGAGAGGGAGATGGAGAGGGAGATGGAGAGAGAGAGATGGAGAGAGGGAGATGGAGAGGGAGATGGAGAGAGAGAGATGGAGAGAGGGAGATGAGAGAGGGAGATGGAGAGAGATATGAGAGAGAGGGAGATGAGAGAGGGAGAGATGGAGAGAGGGAGATGGAGATGAGTGAGAGAGATGGAGAGAGAGAGATGGAGAGAGGGAGATGGCAAGGGAGAGATGAGAGAGGGAGATGGAGATGAGTGAGAGAGATGGAGAGAGAGAGATGGAGATGAGTGAGAGAGATGGAAAGAGAGAGATGGAGAGAGGGAGATGGAGAGGGAGAGATGAGAGAGAGATGGAGAGAGGGAGATGGAGAGGGAGATGGAGATGGGAGAGAGGGAGATGGAGAGAGGGAGATGGAGAGGAGATGGAGAGATATGAGAGAGAGGGAGAGGGAGAGATGAGAGAGATATGAGAGAGTGAGAGATGAGAGAGTGAGAGATGAGAGAGTGAGAGACACCTCATCTAAAGTCCCTTGTTTTTTTTGCTGAAATTGCAGGCCTTACTGTATATTATTATAGTCAGGGGGCTATAGTAGTGATTAGTCTTGGTGACATGTGGACACAAGGACTGTGTCCCAAATGGTATCCTATTCTCTATGTAGTGCACTACTTTTGACCAGAGAGATGGCCAGAATACTACAGAAAAAGAGGCAGCTACAGGACTCTCTGAAAAGGTAGGAGTGATCCAGGACCATGAGGGAGATATCAGAACACTCAGCGTACTGGAGAGACAGGAAAGAGGTATGAAAAGAGGGCTGGAGAGAGAGTTAAAGAGGAGGGAGGAGTTGGAGAGATTTAGAGAGGAGAAAGATAATGAGAGGAGGGAGACAGAGGAGACACAGGAAGGAGATGGAGGAGAGACACAAGAAGGAGATGAAGGAGAGACACAGGAAGGAGACAGAGGAGAGACACATGAAGGAGATGGAGGAGAGACAGGAAGGAGATAGAGGAGAGACACATGAAGGAGACAGGAGAGACACAGGAAGGAGACAGGAGAGACACAGGAAGGAGATGGAGGAGAGACAGGAAGGAGATGGAGGAGAGACACAAGAAGGAGATGAAGGAGAGACACAGGAAGGAGACAGAGGAGAGACACAGGAAGGAGATGGAGGAGAGACAGGAAGGAGATGGAGGAGAGACACAGGAAAGAGATGGAGGAGAGACACAGGAAGGAGATAGAGGAGAGACACATGAAGGAGACAGGAGAGACACAGGAAGGAGACAGGAGAGACACAGGAAGGAGATGGAGGAGAGGACAGGAAGGAGATGGAGGAGAGACACAGGAAGGAGATGGAGGAGAGACACAGGAAGGAGACAGAGGAGAGACACAGGAAGGAGACAGAGGAGAGACACAGGAAGGAGACAGAGGAGAGACACAGGAAGGAGACAGGAGAGACACAGGAAGGAGATGGAGGAGAGACAGGAAGGAGACACAGGAAGGAGGAGGAGAGACACAGGAAGGAGTTGGAGGAGAGACACAGGAAGGAGATGGAGGAGAGACACAGGAAGGAGATGGAGGAGAGACACAGGAAGGAGATGAAGGAGAGACACAGGAAGGAGATGGAGGAGAGACACAGGAAGGAGACAGGAGAGACACAGGAAGGAGATGGAGGAGAGACACAGGAAGGAGATGGAGGAGAGACACAGGAAGGAGATGGAGGAGAGACACAGGAAGGAGACAGGAGAGACACAGGAAGGAGATGGA